ACCAGGGACCTCAGTTCTAGGCCTGATGCCTCAGAGTGCCAGCTAGGTGGCCTTAGGCATAGCAGTGGCCCAATCCATGGTTGTTTTTTCTGCTATCAAATAGGGACAGTCATACCTTCCCTCCCTAACTTTCAGGGGCGTTGTAGGCTCTCAGGTATGACGGATACGTGAGAAGCATGCTGAAAAATATAACGCACTATGCAAATGTGAGGGATTATGGCATCTCAGCCGGTTTCCTCAGTGTGCTGGCTTTCCTTGGGGCAATGTGACGTATGCAAAGCATATGGCTCATATCTGGCCACAGTAGGAAGATAGTCTCTGGGAGCTGTCCCAGGTTTCCTGTCATCTGGACGGTCCACGTTCTCCCCGCCCATCTCCATTCACCTCTTTCTTAACCCTCCCACTCCCTACACGCAGCTGTCGCTCCTCAGGCTTGGGCAGGTGAGAAGTCCTCCAGCTTCTCTTCTTTCATGGCTTTCTTCACCCCTCTGATAGGAGCTGTTTGTTTTTGTAGTTATGTCTGTCCTGCTGCCACTAAAATGTACCCTCCATGACAGCGGGGACAACCTAGGACAGGGGAAGCTAGGACAGGGTCTGGCTGTCCAGTGGTTATTTGATTAAAGGTTTGACAAAATGAAGGACAGACACCATGAACGTGTGTTGTGTCTCTCCTCTCTTTTATGTCCCATTGTGGAAAAGTGACTGGTTGTGGAGTTCCCAGGCCAGATCCCAGGTCACCTAATGTCTCTGTTGTCTGTTTCTGGGTCTGTGAAGTGGGAATAATAACATACCATGCATGTTGGGAGGCTCCGTGAGATAATGAATGTGAGGATCAAGGCAAAGGGTTATTACACTATCTCTTTTGTTTTTGACCCACAACCTGAATCACAGACAGACTTGGAGGGAGGAGAGATAACTTGAGAACCTCAGAGATAGTCTCCTCTTTACTCTCACTCTAGGGTTCAGGGGTGGTGATGGTGATGATGGCTATTATTTACTGAAATTATTCTCTGGCAGGCTTTAGGCTTAAACGAATTTCTTATGTTAATGCACTTAATTCTCCTAACAACCAGAGATTAACTCTACTGTAAAGTAACCACCCGGTGACTCTCTATTACATTACTGTGTTCTAATTTTCCTCATGGCATTTATCACTAACTAAAATTAACTCACTTACCTACTTGTTTATGGTCTGTCTTCCCCAATTAGAGCATACATTCCTTGGGAGCAGAGCTTTATCTGTCTTGTTCTTGGCTGATTTCCCTGTGCCTAGAAGAACCTTTGACTTCAGCAAACCCATTTAACAGATGAGGACACAGGCTTAGAAGGACTAAGGGACTACTCAAGGATAGGTGCTAAACCCATGGGCTGTGACCCTGGTGCTACTTCCTCCCATGGTGCACCAGGCTGTGCTACGTTGTGCCCTGGTAGAGATCTGAAATCGAAAAGGTTGTCCAAGGCCAAATCCTCACCCTCTATGACTCCCCAGTTCCCTTTCATCTTCTCATACCTCAGGAGTTCCATCTCAAACGAGGACACCAACAGATAATTTATGTAGGCCCTAGGGCAGGTAATTTATAGGACAGGAGTCTCCTAGTCTCCCCTTTGTCCTGGTCCAGTCCTCATGAATAACCCCACATCCTCCTTGGAACCCTTTTCTCATTCATCTTGTATCAGCTGCTTTTTCCTCTGTCTCCACCCACTGAGTTCTCAACCCTCCTACCCAGCCCTTAAGAGAGCACAGAAACAAAAGTTCTTGGACTTCAGGAATTGACACACACACCAATGCTAATTTGATTCACGATCAAGACTTTCTGGAAGCTGAATGCATAGTCTCAGAACATGAGGTTGGCTGGTGGTGAACAGGCATGGGGACCAGAACACTGTGACTCCTAAATTCTGGCCAGAAACTTTTCTAGTCACTGTCTTGCCCTCCTACTTAGTGTTTCCTGCCTTGTGTGGGTGGGAAATTCCATTCTGCTTTGCAACAGAGAATTGTTTCAGTGTATTCCAGAGAAGGGAAGTTTCCAGAATAGGAAAGGCCTCTAGAAAAAGACTAGCATAGGATCTGCATCTTGGAGTCCCGCTGGTCCAAATCCAAGCTACCCCTCCATCAGTTACTGACTGAGAGACTCCGAGTACCTTGTTTGATTCTCAGTTTTCCCTTCTATAAAAGAGGCTGATAATTCCCATTTCTAAAGGCAGTTGTACGTGACAGTTGAGATGTCACACAAAAACAGCTGGCATCGTGTCTACCTATAGTAAATGCTTAAGGTATAGCAGCTGCTGTTGACCAAGGAATCAGGCTTTGGTATCCCAACAGGCTGTACCAGAGACCCTTGTAGACCAAGAGGGCCCCAGGTGAACAGAAGACATCGTATGTTCTTTTGTTTGGGTTATGACTTTATTGCTGTTTTCTAAAAAAAAAAATTTTTTTAAGGGTAAAATAACTGATAGTTCCTCAGTGCTGCTAATGGTCATTCCATCTGTCAGCGGCACCTTGGGACCAATGGGCCACGATGTGCCACTGCTCCTGGGTGACCATGGCTCACAACACTTTGCAAGCTCTCAGTGTCTGGCTCCAAGCCTTGAGTGCAGTTGTGGCTTGCACGTATTAAGTAGGCATTATGTGCCAGGCACACGTCTAAGTATTTTTCAATCACTGAGACACTTAAACCTCCTAGTCCTCCCTGGCGGGTACCTTTCTTAGACTTAGTTACAAATGAGTGGTGACCAGTCGGGGTGGGAGGAGAGGTAGGGCCCTTGAGGGGCCTTTCCCATTTGTCCCGGGCCTCCTTAGTTTGGGAGCTCTCTTCAACCTGGGACTGGGCAGGAGGTAGGAACAGCTACTCGGGGCTGTTTAAGAAGTTCTTCTGACCCCAGGCCCAGAAGGAAGGTGGGAGGGGCTCCTCTCACCTTGTGTCTTGAGGCCCCTTGATTTATACCAGTAGAAACTTGGGGTGTGCCTCCCTTCCACACCCCTAAACCAGGAAGCTTTCTGTCACTTCTCTTTTCCATGTGACAGCTCCTCTTGCCTCCCTCTAAGAGCCTAACACCCTATACCTTGGAGCCCAGTGACATGGGAAATACTGCCGTGGGTGATGCCCCTGAAAAAGCTGTGTTATCCCCCATGCCACCCTCCATCTGGCAGGGTCTGGCCAGGGCTGCTGTTTCTACCCTGAGTCAGAGAATGTAGGTCTGAGCCCCTGGGCAACAGGCGGGCACCTCCTGCAACATGTCTCATGAAGTGCTTACACACCGGCTGGTCTGCCATGATGCCCAGAATTCCGCCACGAGGGCATCATGTGGCTTTGGTGCTGGTCAAACCCGAGTTTAAATCCTGTTCGTGTCATCTTCCAATGGGATGATGTCAGGCCTCGCCTCCCCCTCCCCCCACGTCTCAGGTTTCTTCATCTGTGAGCTGAAGCAAATGACCCTGCCCTTGGAGCAGGGCTGACACACAGACAGTGTTCACATGTGGTACGGCTATTGACAGCTGTCATTTTTTCTGAGTCCCCAGCATGGGTAAGTTAGTTAGGCTTGTAGATACAGAAAGTGTGGTTTCTATATCTACCCACGTAGATATGGAAAGTGTGGTTTGGGGATACCAGCAGACCAGGGAGCACCCACTTTATCCCTGGGGCTCTCTCCCCTAAGCCTGGGCAGCCCGTTCCCTGCCCTTCTTCTTCCTCCATACACTCTGCCCCAAAATGAGCAAGCTGGTGACTGAGCACAGGTGCCTTACCAGAGATTCTCGAAGTGTAAGCTTCAGGCCAGCAGCAGCAGCAGCAGCAGCAGCAGGGAAGCTGTTAGAAACACAGACTCTCAGCTACCGACTGAAGGCATCAGGAACTTTAGGCTGGGCCCAGCTCCTGGGCGTTAACAGGGCCACTGACTCTCTCATGCAGCTAAAATCTGACAGCATGGTCCTGTATGGCAGTGTCCTCCTGCAAGTGCCTGGCTCCCCCTCCAAGCCACTCCCTTAGTAGGGCCTGGGATAGCTCCTTTTGAACTGTCCCGACTTTCAGTTCTTCTACTGTAAAATAGAAATTTAATAATAGTGCCTGCCTTCTCAGGGTTGATGTGAGAATTAAGTTTGATGGTAGTTCATGAACAGTGCTTAGCCCACTGCCCAAAACATGGCCAGTGCTCACTAAAGATTGGATATTATTTTTTATCAACATCATTGTTCTATATCTGATCCTCATTTCTGCCCCCTTCTCCTACCGCTTCTGAGTGAAATAATCCACCGTACTGAGTATCTCCAATAAAAATGCCTGCCTCCTCCCAAAAGCCTTTCCTGACCCCTTTCTTTGAGTCCATGGGGCTTCTCTATTGAGCTATAATCATTTGTGTTTGCCCAGGCACCCTGGCACACCGCCTGGGTTCTGCCTACCTCTGTGTGCCCTGCAGCACTCAACTCTGGCTCCTGGCATCTGAGCCACTATTCCGGGACCCTACCGTAAATGTTGGTCGGAAATACCATTTCCCAAGACCAAGCCCTTCCTAAGGGCTTCCTGGCCCTGGCACTCTCTGTCACTGGCCACTGTCTTTCACTGTCTTTCACCGGTTTTCTCCCCGATCACAATGTTCTGCAGTCTCCTGTGCCTTTCATGGTCTTGAGGACAAGTGCTTCCAAGAGGAAATGCTGGGTTATCTGGAAACTACCCTTTCCGGTGCGTCCTTGTCATTTCCTATCCTGGTGCATGAATTCTCCTCAAGTAGGTCTCCACCGTGGAAGCATTTTATGGCTTCCTCTCTGTGACTTGCAACATTAGCAAGGGTGTCGGGGGTACCGAAGCCCAGGCCTGTGCCTTCTACATGGCAGTGTTGATACTGATCTAGCTCGGGGGCTCTTGTCCATTCCTCTGTCCCTTGGTGCTTAATGGTGACAGAAGAGGCAGTTTCCAGTTCCCAAGACTGGCAACTCTGAGTTCTTGGGCATGGGCCTGGGCCTGAGGCCGCCGTGCAAGAACAGCCTAAATCTGACTCTACTTTAGTTTCAGGTCTGTGCGGCTGCTGAAGAACGATCCAGTCAACTTCCAGAAATTCCCCTACGCTAATGAGGATGAGGCCTGGAAGACGTACCTGGAAAACCCCTTAACAGCTGCCACGAAGGCCATGATGAGAGTTAACGGGGACGACGACAGCGTGGCGGCCCTGAGCTTCCTCTACGATTACTACATGGTACCTTGGCCGCTCTGTGCACGTCCCCTTCTGACTGAATGTGTGTCCTGCTTCCAGGCCCAGGCCCGGCAGCCCACTGTGATCCCCCCGCCAGCCCCTCATCTCTGGGCCTTTGCACCGGCTGTCTTCCCTTCCTGACCTTCTCCTTGTCCTGATTCAGCTCACTGTCAGTTTGAGTCTCAGCCTAGATGTCACCTCATTCTTTCTTGCAGGGAGGGGAGGCTTTCTTGGGTTTCCCATTCTATGCTCTTCTGGGCATCCACAGCCACACCAGCACCCTCTCTGTCTCTTGCTTATAAACATACCATATGCACATTCATTTCTCCATTTCCTGCGCAAGACTGAGCTCCTAGAGGGCAAGAATATACCAAGACCATTGCTAGTCCTCAGCGGCCCACATTGTCTACGGCCAGGCCCAACACGTACGGACTGAGTGGGTGAATGCCTGGCTCGGCCCTTGCCCTGGCCAGGTGCCCTGTATCACAGCAACACTCAACTTCCTTCCTTCCTCTGACCCATTTTATGGATTATAACTGCTTCCTAGTCACCTCCACCTTGTTCCTGCCCCAGACCTGGAACATACCTGCTGCTCTTTAACCCGTTCCTTCCTTGAACTCCATTCTGCCCTGTTCCCTCTTCCTCTCATGAGTATCCTGCCCCTACTACCATGCTGTCTTTCACTGTTCTCTGACTATCTAAAGCTATCACAAATACAAAATACACAACACCCCCACCACCTCCAGTGTTGCTGCCAGACATTACTAATAGATTACAGCTTGCATTCTCCTTGAGGGTACCTGAGGCTGCACAGCCTTTGTCAACTCAGAACTCCACACAGCCCTGCCCACTCATCAGAAATGAGACAAAACATCAGATTTACTCGCTGTCCCAGGCCTGAGAGATTGCTCCAGGAGACTTTCCTAGACTTGATGCGGAGGTGTACATATAGAGAATTGTTGACGTAACTGAATTTGAAGATTTAAAATCACTTTATAGATAAGTCCTCAAATTTATTGCCCCAAGACGTATTTTATCCACCTTCCTGCAAGAAGAAAGGCAAGTTCTCTGCCTGAATTTAGAGGCCAAGGGAGGGTGGGGCAGATGGTTCCAGACAGGAGAAGGCCCCTGCAGATCTCTCTGGGTCTGTTTTCATGCTGCGTTGGTGTATTTTCCCTCCCCTGCCTCCCCCATCAGACTGGAGCATCCTGATAGCATCCAGCCCAGGCTAGTGGAAGAAGAATGTGAATGGCCGCCTCAGCACTGGGGCACAGTGGGAGCCACAACTCCATCTGGGTTCGAACCCCAGCTGGGATTCACAGGTTGAAGCTGGACCACAAAATAAAATCCAGCACTGTCTCGGACAAGAGGCTATTCCCAGGGCCAGAATGGTGGGGCTGGGGTCTGAAGGGATGTCTGTATTAGCTTTTGTGTGATATGGCGTCTTGGTGAGATCTGGTCTGGGTTTAGAGCAGCCCTGTAGGCAAGGAGGACTAGGTCTAATGGTGGAGCCAGATTACCAGCTTGGAATCTGAGACCTTGTCCTGCCACAAACTGTCAACGTGGCTTTGGGTGATGCAGCACCAAAGCTGACCACTTACTGGTTCATTGAACTTCTCATACTCTCCCCTGGGTGTGGGTATGAGTACCAGCCTGGGCTTTGGAGCCACCAGACAGGGTTAGAGTCTTGGTACCAGCCTTCTAGGCCTCGGGATGAGTGAGTTAGAATATGCTAAGGTACAACAACGTTGTAAGAATGAGAGGTCGCATTTGTATGGTCATGCTCTCCACATGCTGGGTGCTGTCCTGAGCAACCACAACAACCCTGAGGCTGTATCACTAGTATTTTCCATGCTTTCATAAGAGGATATATACAGAAGGGTGAAGCACCTTGCTCAAAGCCACACAGCCAGTGTGTGGATCTAGGGACTGAATCCAAGAAATGTAGATTCAGAGTCCACGCTCCAAAGCACCAGGGGAGTCTCTCTGGCCCTCGGTCTCTTTTTCTGTGTAATGGAGATGATAGTCCTTGGTCGCGAAGTTTCCATCAGAGAATAGCATTTAGTACAAGGTCTCCTGCACAGGAAGTACTCTATTTGTAAAAAGCAAGTTGTTACTTTTATTAGTACATCTTCATAATTCCCTACTTGACATACGAGGACACTGAGTTTTAGGGAGGTTTAGTTCTTTATCCAAAATCACACAGCACTTTTAAGCAGTAAAGCTAAGCCTTCAGTCAGGCCTACCTGACCCCAGATTCCATGCTCTTTAACTGCTAAGCCTAGGGTACTCCCCCCTCCACCGCTCCCCTCCATGGGGCCCAGACTAAACGGTGGCCCCAGTTCCTGCGGACTAGAAGGATTCCTGGGTTTTCTTTATGTCCCAGTGCCTGGCCAAGGCTCCGGGAGGGGGAGCACCTCCTAACAGTCAGGTCTTAGCCAAGACCACACACGAATCCTTCCTTCCTCCCTCTCAGGGCCCCAAGGAAAAGCGGATACTGTCGTCCAGCACCGGGGGCCGGAATGACCAAGGAAAGAGGTGAGTCTCACTCGGCCCTGGTGCCTCTGTGTACCCCACACACCCCCACTCCCTCCTCACACAAACACACAGGCCAAGCTGCCCATCAGCCACAGAGGCCCTGCCAGGGTCCCGTAGAGCTTGTAGGGACTCAGGGTAGAGGTGTTTTAATTTCTATTAAAACCAGAAGAAAGGAATTAATATAATCCAACCCAGATCGTATGTCTTTATACCAATGCAATTGTACATGATATTTCAAAATACTTCTGGAGGGGCTGATGAAGGTAGAAGAGCAAAGACACACACACACACACACACACACACACACACACACACACACACACACACACACCCCAGATGCCCGCAGGCCCTGTGGCTGGCATTTACTGAAAACAAACTTCAAAGCCATAGTAGTGGAAAAACCCTAGAGGCAGCTCTTCTGTCCCAGCTCCAAAACTCTCCTCCCTGCAGCGTCTTGGGGAGGGACAGCTGGCCTGTCCCTGGTGGAGGGGACACCTGAGTTCCTGGACTTCCTCCCCCAGGCTCCCTGGGCCTCTGCCTGGCATTAGTGCCTCAGGCTACCCGTGTCCCTTTCCTTGTGGAGAACAGGGCAGGTTACACACAGGGCCAGCTGGGCCCCAGAGGGACCTCTCTGCTTTCTCCTTACAACTGCCCAGGCAAGGGGGCGGGGGGCTATGGAGGGTTGTCCCTGCCCGGAAGACCGGAGACCCAGGCCCCTGAGGCAGCAGTGCCACGCCCTCTCGTGTCCCTGAATGTGGCTGTGGCTGCTCGGGTCCCTCCCCAACACTGCGGGAATGCTGGGTTTGGGCACATGGAGTGTTTTCTCAAAATGATTTTACAAGGGATATTCTGAGTGCAAATGCAATGTCTGCTCTTTGCAAAACATTCAGATTCTATAGAAATATGGAAAGAGTAAAACTGTCCATCGCTCTTGTCCTCCTCACAGTTTGGGGTGTACATTAGTGTACCCACAGACCCACAGTGCTCCTGTACACACCCCACGGCTGACGCGGCATGGGCGGTCCGAGTGGGAACATTTTGTCACAGGGATGTTTGACCCTGGCCAAGACATAGAGATGAAGCTGTCAGTCTCTAATGAATAAGACTCGTACTGGGGGAAACACATTTCCCCAGCCCTGAGCCTGGGCAGAGCTTGTCCCCCACACCTTCCTCCTCTGGCCCTGGGACAAAGTGGCCTGGGCGAGGCCTGGCCTCACACGCTCTGGGTGGACCCCACAGCACCCCAGACCAGAGAAGGTCACCATGTCATTGTCGCCGTCACTCTGCCCTCCCCAGGTTTTACCAGGGCATGGAGTACGAGACGGATCTTGTGCCCCTTGAAAGCCCCACGCACCTCATGAAATTCCTGACTGAGAGCGTGTCTGCAACCCCAGAGTACCCCGATGTGCTCAAGAAGAACAACCTGATGAGCCTGGAGGGCACCGTGCCTGCCCCTGGCAAGGCTTCTTCGCTCCCGCCGGGCCCCAGCAAGTTAGAAGCCAGCTCTGTGGACAGCTACCTTTTGCCCACCAGTGACATGTACGATAACGGCTCCCTCAACTCCCTGTTTGAGAACATCCATGGGGTGCAACCCACACAGCGCTGGCAGCCGGATAGCACCTTCAAAGATGACCCCCAGGAGGTGAGGGCCCATTCCCACACCCTCATAGCATCCCCGGGTGTGTGTGTGTGTGTGTGTGTGTGTGTGTGTGTGTGTGGTGTGTGTGTGTGTGCAGGAAGCGAGAAGATTAGTAAGCTCAGCGCTTTGGAATCTATGGGAGAAAGAATTCTAGAGCAGAAGCAGCACTGCCATGTACTGTTGTCCAAGTTGAACACTATACAACCTGCAAAGCTGTATTTATAACCCTGGGCTGTGGCTCTTACAACCTGAAATGGTGATTTATTTATTCTCTTGGGGTTGTGTTTCTCTGCAGTCTCTGCTCTTCCCAGATATCCTGAAAGCATCCCCAGAACCCCCGTGTCCAGAGGACTATCCTAGCATCAAGAGGTAAATTGGCCCTCTGGACCCTTGACTGCCTGGGCAGTGGGTAGGGGCTACGGATAGCGCTTCATGCTGCACCCAGATGGCATAGTCCATGATGAAAAGAGGGGAGGAAAAGCTGATGGAGGGAGAGGGGCTTTCCACATTCTTTTCCTGGGCTGCGTCAGGTAGCTCTGTGCTCAGCGCCCTGTTAGACGGCTGAGCTTCAGCTGCCCTTCCTTGTCCCTGTGACTTTGTCACCTCTCGGGGTTCTGATTCTCACTGGGCCTCATGATAAGCAGGGCGGAGGCTCAGCAGAGCCATTAACTAGACCCTGCACAAATATGGAACCTGAGGTCCAGAGGAGTAAAGCGAGATAGAAGGTCACACAGCGAGCCCCTGCCAGGGTCTTAGGCGTCCTGTCCCCCACACCCTGGGGCACCGCTGCCCAGGGCCGAGACTCACTGTCCTCTCCCCTCTGCAGCGACTTTGAATACACACTGGGCTCTCCCAAAGCCATCCACATCAAGTCAGGCGAGTCGCCCATGGCCTACCTCAACAAGGGCCAGTTCTACCCCGTCACCCTGCGGACCCCAGCGGGGGCCAAAGGCCTCACCCTGTCCTCCAACAAAGTCAAGGTGCGTGGACCCCAGGACGTTTGAGAGGGGGCGAGATGCCTGCTGGTGGGCAGCCAGGGCCTTTGGCAGAGGCTGCTCGGTAACTGCCCGTTACCTGCCGGCTGGGGGAGACTGAGGCAAGGGCTCTGGGGCTCCCCAGTGGAAGTGACACGGCCACTGTGCTTACAGAGCGTGGTGATGGTCGTCTTCGACAACGAGAAGGGCCCGGTGGAGCAGCTGCGGTTCTGGAAGCACTGGCACTCCCGGCAGCCCACTGCCAAGCAGCGGGTCATCGATGTGGGTGAGCGCCGACCCTCCTGTCCCTGCCGCCCCTTCCCTGACCCTGACCTCCAGCCCCAGGTCGCACTGCCAGGCACAGGGGTTTGCATCTGCTGACCGGAAGCAGCAGCCACTCTTCTGCATTGCTTTGGGATAAATGGGCCTGGAGACCTGAGTGCTGGCTTGTTTGTCCCCAGGGGGGTGAGGCTAGTACAGGCCTGGCACAGTCACATCTGCTTTGGGGCTGGGACCCTCCAGCGCCATCAGCAGGGAGGAAGAGGGAAGCCCCTGTGTGTGCCACTCGGGCTCATCTCACCCTGAAACAGACGGGAAGCACAGTGCACCCTCCAGTCTGCAGGTTCTGGCTCCAGACCCCTCCTCCGGGCCGTGTGACCGGTGTCACCTCACCGCCCCAAGTCTCAGTTTATTCTGTTAAATGACATCAGCCCAGCTGCCCAGCCTGCCCATAGTGCTGACTTCTGCCTGGAAGCCATGTATCCTGGAAAACAGGACACAAATGAGGGACCGTTCAGTGACTCGTCCTCAAGGCCAGACAGCAGAGTGGTTAGGGACAGGGGCCCAGGAGCCAGGCACAGCTAAGCACCAGGCCTCACTCTGCCTTTCATTGGCTGTGACCTCAGACAAGTAACCAAGCCTCTCTGAGCTTCATGTTTCTCACAAATAGACTGAATATTCATAGCAGAGTTGTGAGGGCCAAACGAGGGCTTAATAAATGGTAGTGGCGAGTACAACTAGTTTAACCACTGCAGTTACTACCATGGTTATTGCTATTACTACTGTACCGTGATGCTGCTGTACCTGACACATCTCCCACGTCACAATCCCCGTGGAAAGTACAACGTCCTCCCAGAGCAATGGGGCCCTGGCCTTGCTGGCTGAGCTGAGCTTCCTCAGGGGCTTTGGGCAAAGGCTGTTTCTGCAGGCCCTGTCTCCCGGTGCGACTCGGGCCACAGGAGTGCCTTTTCCTCCTGGCCTGCTGCGCTGTTCCTAGGGGGTGCAGCTCCTAACGCCCCCTCCCCGCAGTACCCGGGGCCCTTCCCCCTGACTCTCTGTGCCCCTTGGTTGCAGCTGACTGCAAAGAGAACTTCAACACGGTGCAGCACATCGAGGAGGTGGCCTACAACGCGCTGTCCTTCGTGTGGAACGTCAGTGAGGAGGCCAAGGTCAGCGCCGGCTGCTGGCTGGGATGGGGCGGCTGCCCACAGTGCCTGTCCTCGGGGAAGGGCTCGCCCTTCCTAGCGCTGTGGCATTTGGTCCATGGATGGCACTATCAGAGCAGGCAGAATCCATGGTGGTCAGAAGCACAGGCTCTGAGGCCAGACAGGCTGGATCTGCACCCAGCTCTTCCACTTAACCAAACATGTGACTTGGTCCCTCCGAGCCTCCGTGTTCTCTCAGCTGTAAGAAAAAGGTGCAATGGTAGCACCGGAGTGTGCGCAGTAGGACATGGCCTGGCACACAAGTGGTGGCTGTTATTAATCCAAGCCTTGAGCCTTGCACAAGGCCACATGGCAGCCGCCAGGGGTTTGGTGACTTCCTGGCCATTGTAGACTGTGGCAGGGGAAGGGCTTAGGAGCCTGGTAGCTGAGGGCTCAAATCCAGTCCCACTGCTTCTTAAGTCTGCAAGATGGAACCCACAGGTAACCTGCCTGCCCTGTGGTGGGGATTCTACAGCAGGGCCCGGGGCCTGCAAAGCAAAGTCAGGGAGGCAAAGCGGCTGGCAGTTTTCCCATGCCAGCCCTTACACCATTACCATCCTTCCAGCCCAGGCACCAGCCTGCCGGGTACCATGGGCATCCTGGTCCTGCTTGGAGAGCTGGCCTGGTTGCAAAGGCACTGGTCTGTCCCGGAGTCAGGGCCTGGGTAGCCTTGGATCTGCCCTTTCCTTCCCTGGACCAGGCTTGCGTCACTCACTAGGGTCCCCTGGGCAGGCTGGGGACAGGGGTTGCCCGCAGAAGATGAGGGGAAGGAGCCGGAGCACACAAAGGGAGGCCCAAAGACAGGGGCTGTTATTATTCACACAGAGCAGACTGGAGGAGGAGCCCGGCCTGCAGCTCAGGGAGGTGGGAAAGTTTCGTGGGAAGGGAGCGGTGGGTTTCGGTGGGGATTTTCTCACCACCTCTCGGGCCCCAGGCTCGGGTCTCTCAGGTGCGGGCTGGTGGGGGCGAGGGGGAGGTATGCCTGGCATGTGCCTGGGGGCCTGGCCCCACAGCCAGCCGAGAAGGGGGTCTACTCAGACACCCCACCCCAGCCCCGCCGTTCAGCTCAGAGTCATTGCCAAGGGAAAGAGCTCAAAGAACAGGGGTCGGCAGGCACAGTCACCAGGGCTCGCCCAGCTGAGGCTAACCGGCTACCATCCGCTGTAGGATGAGACTTCAGCTGTCCCTCTTACAACAGTCACAGCACATCAGCAGTCACAACTCGTCCTCATAGGCACATAAGACAGGTTTTATTACCCCCATTCTGTAGATAAGGACACCAGGCTCCATGAGCCTGGCTTCCCACCACAGGTCTGAGTGGTCTTGGGTCATTTTCCCTGACTCTCGGGGAAGGTCAGCAATCGTATCCCTGCTCGGAGCCTCCGTGGCTGCAGGATGGAGGTGGCCGGGACAGCTCCTTGCTGTGAGGGCCTGGGACCGAGTGGAGAGCATGAACCCCTCCCTCACCGGAGGCCCAGGATGCCAGAGCTGGGGGCTAGGGTGGAGTGACTGTGTCTCACCCCTGCACCTGGGGCCAGCTGGAAAGTAGCGTCCTTGGCTCATTCTGCATTGCAGAAAGACGACTCTGGATTTCCAGCTCCTGAAAGTGTATTTGAGCCCCTCCCAGGGTGGGCTGCCCTTGGTGAGCTGGTGGGGGCGTCTCACCCTGTGGCAGAGGGCCTGCGCTTTGATCTGGGCCAGCCCCAGCCCCACCACGTGTGGCCTGGGTCACCTTGGGAAAGTTACCCACCTCTCTGAGCATCCGTTTCCGGTCTGTAAAGGAGTGCTGATGGTTACTTCCAGGGGCCCTGTGAGGCTTAAAGGCACTTGCTGGGTCCACAGAAAGCTTGATGAACTTACCCAGCACCCTGCTCTGTCCTCAGGTGTTCATTGGTGTCAACTGCCTGAGCACAGACTTCTCCTCGCAGAAGGGGGTGAAGGGCGTCCCCCTGAACCTGCAGATCGACACCTATGACTGTGGCTCAGGCACTGAGCTCCTGGTGCACCGTGCCGTCTGTCAGATCAAGATCTTCTGTGACAAGGTGGGCAGCCGCTCCGCTGGGCCCTGGAGGGAGAAGGGCCCAAGCTGGCGCTATCCTCCTGCGCTCGCCTGCCTCTGTCTCCTCGCTGTCTGTCCGCATGCTCACCACTGTGTTTCTCTCTGCACGTCCTCCTGTCCGCACTCTGGGTCTCTCATCTCAGCACACCTCCTTCTGGATCTCTGTAAGTCTTGCTCTATCTCTTTTTCTCTGCCGGTCTCCCTCAGTTTTCTCTTTCTTCTGCCCATCTCTGTTTCTCTCTCCTTCTCCACCCCGCCTGCCCTGCCCACCTCTCTTGTCTTTCTAAGCTGCTTCCTTCTCTCTGTCTCTCAGGGCCTGTGCTGACCTCAGGCAGGCGGGGCCGGGCTGGGTTGGGGTGGACCACATGCCGGGGTCTTCCCATATCCTGGTCTCCCCGTGAGGAAAAACTGGGACCAGAAGCCTGGCCCATACTTACGATGCAAAGGAGTCATTGTGAAAGTAGCCAGCGCCCCTGGAGGCCCTGGGTGACTTCCCCTTCTCCCCACAGGGAGCTGAGAGGAAGATGCGAGATGACGAGCGGAAGCAGTTCCGGCGGAAGGTCAAGTGCCCGGACTCCGGCAACAGCGGTCAGTGCACACGGGCCAGAGACCAGCTGGGCTGGGGTGTGGGAAGGGAGATGGAGGTGAACGGGGAGGCTGGGACCTGAGCAGAGGATCTCCCGGCTCAGCAGCGTCCTTTTCCACCAGGCCTCAAGGGCTGCCTGCTGTCGGGCTTCCGGGGCAACGAGACCACCTACCTGCGGCCGGAGGCTGACCTGGAGACCCCGCCTGTGCTTTTCATCCCCAATGTGCACTTCTCCAGCCTGCAGCGCCCTGGAGGGGTAAGGGCGAGGGCGCGGGAGGGGGTCCCAGCCTCTGGCAGGCCCTGCCTTAGCACAAAATAGGAGTGGGTAGTAACTACAACTTGTCAGAACTGGCCTGTTGCGATATTTCCAGGGTCTACCATTTAAAAAGTCAAACTCAGACTATCTGTATTGAATCCCGGAGGGAAAGAAATGTCTGCAGCAGCTGGGGGTATAGCTCAATGATAAAGCATTTGCCCAGCATGTGTGAGGCCCTGAGTTCAACCCCTAGTACCACACACACACACACACACACACACACACACACACACAGAGGAGGGGTCTGTGTGCGCATGTGAATCCAGTGAGCCGTTGTATCAAAGAACAGAATGTTAGTGAACAAACACACCTTGTACCATCAAAATATTCACGCTTGGAGCACACGCAGAGGAGGTTTCTAATATCTGAGCCCCACATTCCCCACTGAAGCTGGGGGGTGGTGATTTCCATGGCGACACTGGAGCTCACAGCTTATGCGCTAGGTGCTGTATTTCATTCCCCAGCCGGCACTGCAGCGCTCTGATGTCAGGAATATTGTCTCCCTGGACCTGTGGGCCAGAAGTGGAGACAGAGAAGTTAAGAAACCCTCTGAGATGACACAGCTAGAAAGTGGCAGGAGTAGACTGGGCCGAGTGCTAGGATGAACTGCCTCGCTCCTTCCCCAGCCCTTTGGGGACAGGGGCACCGGACAAGCGAGTTAAGGGCCCAGAGCCTGTCTCTGTCTGCCTCTGTATCAGTCGGACCACTGCCTCCCTCCCCATTGGCAGCGGGCACGCTTGCCGAAACACACCTCGGTGTGCGCGAGATGTGACTGGCGTGCTGGCGTAGGGAGAGGAGGGTTATGGGGCACAAAGGGCTGCCAGTAGGGACGTGGGCCCTGGCACTCTCCAAAGCCCCTTCCTATCCCTACCCACCACCCTCCGTAGGAGTAGCAGCAGTGCCAGGCACACTGGTGTCAAAAGAGTGCTTCCATCTTTCCCTGCCGCTGCCTCAGGTCCCATTACCCAGTTACCGGGCGCAGGCCCAGCCACCTCTCCCGGCCTGGTGGGCACACTGCTCTGCCCACAGAGCTGTAGCACCTCCTCCAGCTGGGTGATTCCTTTACCCAGCCCACTTAGGGCACCCATCTGAGCAAGCACAAGCCTTTGCAGTGGCAGCCCCTCTCCTCATGGCATGTCCCCCCAGGATACCCCGACGTGAAAATGTCTTCTCTTCATTGCAGGTGGTGGGCTCGGCAGGACACAGCAGCTCCAACAGGTACCAGAGAAACCGCCAAGGGCCCCGCTCCCCGCCTGCCCCTTCACCCCTCGCCCTGTCCTCGGCCCGCCTTCCCCCCTGCCGCCCCAGCCAGGGCCTGGGGCCTGAAGAAGAGGCCACTGACTCTGCCCCAACCCCCAAGCTCTGCTCATGCTCCTTCCTCACTGAAACTGCCTGGGTTTTTATGGGTTTGTTTTATGTGAAAAGTTGGCGAATCTTTGGCGAGACACCTGCTTGTAAAAAGGGAAAGAAAAAGCCTCTGGGGACAGTGGGGTGGAGGGGTGCTGAGCTGGGGGCTGCTGGGGTAGAACCCTAGCCCCTTCCCTTAACACACTCCACCACAGGGGGCCTGGCCCTGTCCTCTGCCAGCCACAGCCTCTGGGCCTGGCAGTCCCTTCACCTCCCTGAGCATTTTAGCTGCACTTTTTATGCAGCGCTTCCACTCCAAACTATGCCACTCAGCGCCTCAGACAGCCCATGAGTTAAGTCAGTGATGGCGAACCTTTTTTAGAGCCTTCAATGACATGAATAGCCGCTAGGGCACACCTGCCGCAGGTTCGCCACCACTGAGTTAGGCCATCAGGAGTCACTGCTCCTGGGTGGGGAAGCTTCAGCTCTGAGCAGGGATCACACAGCTATTAGGGAACAGAGGCAGGATGGACACCCAAGCCTGTTTTACCCCAAATCCCACAGTCCTCCCTCCTGCTGCTGCTTCATTCCTGACCTAATTCTTTCAAAAGGGTCAATGTTGATGTCCGGTTTTGATGGAAGCCACATGCTGAGTCTGTCATTACCTCCCGCAGCCCCATCTACTATTTTCTGCAGGCTCATTTGTACTTTTGCTTTGCCTGCTTCACAAACAGGGTCACCTGAGGCAAAGGAACTCAGCCCAGGGCCCATGCCCAGTGCATGGCAGGGGTGGGATTTGAACTCAGGCTGTCCAGCCCCAGACCTGCTTCTTCGCCTGCAGTTCCACTGCCTTACACCCCCACCCCAGCTCCAAGGCCCCTGGAAGCCCAGCAGGGTCCTCACCAACCCTCCTGCCATCCCCACAGGCTTCCCCTGAAACGCACCCGCTCGCCCTTCGCTGAGGAGTTTGAGCCACTGCCTTCCAAGCAGGCCAAGGAAGACGACCTGCAGAGAGGTAGCGTCCACCTCCCATGTGTCCTCAGAGTCACTGGCCCCTGGGAGGCAGGAGGGACCACTTGCTCCTTGAACTGGCTTTGGGCCCAGACTTGGGGTGGGTATAAAGGGGTCCCTGTAGGGTTGGAGGCATCTGCCTGCTCTGACCTCGTGGGGACACCGTGTCCCAGGGCAGCTGGCTCAGGCAATAGGTCAAGGGCCCTCACTCTCTCTGACAGGGGGAGGAATGGAACAGGGTTTCACAGTTCAGTTTTCTAGTTTTGACCCTCTAAGTCTGTGGCTACCTTTTTTGTTGTCGTTGTTATTTTGCGTCAGGGTCTCACTATCTAATTCAGGCTGGCCTCAAACTCACAGAGATCCTCCTGCCTCAGGCTCCTGAGTGCTGGGATTACAGGTGTTTGTCAATGCACTCGGTAGTAGATCTGTGGCTTCTTGAGAGGGGTGGTGACAAGCCCCCAAACCTCTGACCAGCAGGAAGAAACCACCAGCAGCTGTGCTTGGCCAAAAGCTTCCAGCAGCCCCGACCAGCTTACCTTGGTGTTTCCAAATACCATCAGCAGTTCCTACAACCGCTGTGAGGTAGTGCACAGGGCCCCCATTTTACATACCAAATAAAATGAAGCTGAGTGATGTCACCATCGCTTCTGCAAGGTTATCAGCTGGCTGGCAGGTGGGAGAGCAGGGATTCACACCTGCCAAAATCAGGACACTCTTTAAGAACGTGCATGGGACCCGCCGACTGTTTCCCAGCTAGGGGCCGGCGCCTTAGCAGAAATCCATCTTATACTAAAGTAAGATGTTTTAGATCCCCTTCTTCTGAGATACTGTTGGGCTCAGTGTTTTCCTTGCACCCCTAAAAGCTGCCCCATTGGTTTTCAGTTCTGTTGTACGTGCGGAGGGAGAGCGAGGAGGTGTTTGATGCCCTCATGCTGAAGACCCCGGACCTGAAGGGGCTGAGGAATGCGGTAAGAAGCCTGGGCTCCGCAGGGCTCATTTCCCACAGGAAGGTCTGGGAAGGAACAGCCCGGAACTGGGCTTTCTGGTGGCCTGCCTGTCCCGCCCACTGGGGGGCCCGCGGCCCCGCTGGAGGGGGCGTTGCCTTCGATGTTATCTCCCAGCCAGAACCCAGGCTCCACCCTGGAGTCGCACACACCGTAAATCCTTCCTAATCTGATGGCTGCTGTCTGACAGGCCAGGGCTTTTGTTGGCTTTGCAAACCTGTTTCTGTTTTAATGGGAGCGAAACCCAAAAAGGCCAGGCCCAGAGACACTCTTTTTTCTCTCCCGGGGGCCCCGTTCCTCCTGTTTGTTTGTTGGCATTGGTGGCTGGGGTCCAGGCTGGGCCGCTGAGACCTTCCCCAGCCCCCAGCACTAGAGAGCCGGGACAGCCAGGCCTCGAGCTGACCCTCAGGCAGCTTGTGCCTCAGCTGGTGTTAAGGTTGAACCCTCAGAAAAGGCTCAAGGGCCCCCGAGGAGCAGGTCACGTCAGGTGCCCGCGTCAAAGGCCCGCTGTGTGCCTGGCGTTCTGTCAGCCCGGTGCACTTGCTGGCTCCCCACCTGCGAGAGAAGCCTGAAAAGTGGATGCTGTTGGCTCCTCCTCATGTCCCGGGAGGCTATGGCCCCGAGAGGTCAGGGGACGAGGCTGGAAGCGACAGGCTGTGATTCCAGCCTGTGCTCTCCCCACTCTGGGCTGCCTGTTCTCCTTCCCTACGGTCATCCTGCTTGGCATCAGCCCCGGGAAGTTGGGCTCACAAAAGCCCATTAATGTCACTTGACTATAGACTCGGAATCCTTGGACGGAGCGGTAACCGAAAGGGTCAGGCTCCCACCTGGAGCTTGCCTTCTCTTCCCACAGCTCTTCTGAGCTCTGCCTGCTCTTAAATCATATACTTCCAGACACAGAGAGCTCACTGCCTTCTGGAACAGGCCCGCTGTCTTTGTATAACGTATTCACCTTATGTTTAGAAAGGTCCTAAATTCTTCCTTAGCTTGATTTGAGATCTCCCTCCTGGTGGCATTCAGCTACATTACCAGTAAAATTAAGAACTTTTCTGTCCTGGAGGGATCGCTGTCAAGAATAAAACAGAACAGAACCTGATTCTTAGCCTAAGATGCCCAGAGACGGCCAGCTCTCCCTGGAGTCCCCACCAAGCTGTGCCAGTTCCTCTGAATACCACACTCCAGGCTGAGTACTTTGCATAACACTCTCAGTTGAAATCCAGAACCACTCCCTGGGTACACCCCATTACTGCACCCATTTTACACGCAAGAAAACTGATGCTCAGAGAAGGAAGGAGACCTGTTAAGTTTTGTGTCTCCAATGGTGGAGGTCCAGACTAGATCCATCTGCCCCAGAATCTCAGGAACTGTGAGGAGAAGTGGGCTAACTCTGGCTACACAGCCCAGCAGGCTGGGTGCTCTTCTGGAGAACGGCTCCGAAGTTTGGGACTCCATCGAGTCAGTGAACCAGGGCTCGAGGCTCAGGGCCTGGCTTGCACTCTTGGAGCTTGGCACGCACAGCTGTCACCGGGGGTCAGTAGTCCCTGCCTGAAGGAGAAATGTGGGACTGGGTTGGTCAGAGCAAGACTGAGAGCAACCTGTCACTCAGCTTCCTTAATAATGGCAGTGGCCACTGAGGGAGGACTCAGTGAGGGTTGGGAGCTGCCCTTGGTGACATATGTCATCCACGTACATCATGCTTCCTAAAGATCTTTGGGGAGGTGGCTACTCTCTCTCTCCACAAGGAGTTTGCACAAGGTCACCAGTGGGTGGATGGTGGCCCTAAGCACTGGACAATCCAAACATCTGGCACCAGGCAGGAGCTAACGGAAGAGGTAGATGCTAATGAGATTTTATACCCACTAAAAATACTGTTTGTTTACCAAGTGTCTGCTGTGATACAGGAAGGTTTATCATATGATGATGTTTTAATCTACCTATGTGGAATACAAAAATATCTGCATACATGGCCAACAATGGGATGGCAGCCAGCCAGATGTTAATGGTCTTCATCTCAGAGAAACAGGATTGTAGATGGCTGCAATTTTCTTCTTTATGTCTCTCAATATAGATAGATAGATAGATAGATAGATAGATAGATTGATAGATAGATAGGATAGCTACTAATTTATATATATAACCTCATACACACACACACACACACACACACACACACACACACACGTTTATAATCAGGATGTACTCCAGTTTGGCAGCAGAACTGAATGCCCTACTGCTCTCTTGCAGATCTCTGAGAAGTATGGGCTCCCTGAAGAGAACATCTGCAAAGTCTACAAGAAGTGTAAGCGGGGGTAAGTGCCCCCTTCAGTCCTCTCATGTGCTCAGTGCTGAGCAGGGTTGTACCTCACCTTCATCAAGGGGTTGAAGGGGTGTGGAGTAGGAGGGATTCCTTTGGGCCAAGGTCACCAGTCACACTTGCACCAGCAGAGAGCAGACCTTGATCACTATTTGGAAGGCTAGGAGTGAGACACAAGTAGAAGGATCCTTAGGTGCAACCTCATTGGTGGAGAGGGGAGTGCAGTGTCATGTATCAGAGGACCCAAGCTCAAGTCCTGAGGTCATTGCTTAGCCAAGTCATTTGATTATGATGATGATGACAGTGACCACTCTTTACCTGACCACTTACTGCGCAGCAGGTGCTAAGCCCAGGGATCTTGTCACCCACTCTTTACAGATAGAGAACCAGGCTCAGAGGTGACAAGCAGTGATTGCGGAGCAGGGGAACAAGGGCACAGAGGCAGGAAGGCCCATGGGGTTGCGGCTGGATAAGTCAGGGCAGGAAGGAGCAAGCGTTGTGAATGGGAGTCAGGTTACGGCAGGGTGCCCCACGGATCTCCCCCACCACCAGGCTGGACTAGGCAGGAGAGGGCAAGACTCTGCCCTCCAGGGGCCCATGCAGAGCCTGGCCACCCATATGGGCTCGCAGGGATCTCAGCACCCTTTCCTGTCTGCCCAGGAAACCCTTGGCTGGGAGGAGGGGAGTGGCACGTGGTCTTCCTAGGCGTCAGCCCCTGGTGAGAGCTAGGATCGTTCTGTGGGCCTCTGTAGCCCTTCCTGACTAAGTCACCTTACCAGACTAGCATGGGACCCGGGCAGTGAAGATTAGTCACTGCCAATTCCCAGCCCAGAGAACCCAGGGCCAGGATGCTGGGATATCACCCACCCTCCACCCAGCTCAGACCCCAGTCCTGCTCCAGACGGTCTCACTCCAGCTGCACTGAGCAGCAACCTGGGAAGGGGCTTAGGTGCTGCTCTCCATGGGCTTCCTGCATAGAAGGCCTTGCAAAGCGAGGCGGTGTCCTCACCCGCTGAGGCCCCATCTAAGCAGGCTCAGGGCCCCACTACGCTCTCCTCCGTGGCCTGCGCCCAGCCTCCCATAGAAGCTTGGGGTCAGGGAAGGTGTCCCTCCCTGCAGCCCTGGGAGAGGAACCATTTTCTTTGGGTTGTATGAGTGGCACATATACGTGTATGTGTGTGCGCGCGCGTGCGTGCGTGCGTGTGTGTGTGTGTGTGTGTGTGTGTGTTTCCAAGTTTCCGTTTCAAACTGAGGTTCACACACTCTGTAGCTGAACCCACCTCCCAGCTCTGCTTTGCTCAGTCTCACTCAGCCCTCCCTCCCTCAGCACCACACTCTCGCCCCTGGCTCCAGCCCCACAGATCCCACCTGGCTGAGGGTCCAGGCAGTGCCTTTATGTCTGATGCGGGAGCCGAGGGTACACACAGAGATGCCCATGCATGCCCCCCAAGTGGCCAGAGGCTTTCCCTTGAGCCCCAGGCAGTGGGAGAAGTGATGCCTCCCGTCAGCGCACTGACCCTTTGCGCCTGGTGGGATGAGATGATCTATTTCTATAGATGAGGAAACCGAGGTCCAGGGTAGTTATGAGTTAGTGGTGGCAGAAGGAATCTCACCTGCCTAAAACCTGTGCATGCACCCACTATTTTTTCTTACCTCTTGCTTATTCCTCTAATCACTGAACAATGTGCAAATAAAAGCTAGGCCTGGGCAGGCCAGTCCATTTGCCCAGTACCACAGCCTAGGGCAGTGATAGCGAACCTTTTAGAATTTCAGTGATATAAACAGCCTGCTAGGGCACAAGTGCCATAGGTTCGCCACTGCTTGCTTAGGGCGTCACCCAGCAGCCCTGCGGAGGTACCATGTACCCCACCCACCCCACAGTCCTGGAAACCCCAACCCTAGGATGGTCCAAAATGGCTGAATGAGAATAGTCCCCCAGATCCTCTTGGGAAAGGGGAGGCCAGGCAGGTCTGCTGCTTCATCAGGGTTCTCATCTAAGAACAGGAAATTTTAATGGGGGGGGTGGTTAGTTTATTTTCACAAAGCCCTCCTGAAAGTCCTCGGAGAAAGGCAGATACCATCAGCTTTACAAGCACCATTGAGTGCTTGGAAGATTAACAAAGACATTGTTTCTGCTGGCAGCTGGCCAGGGGTTTAATGTGGCCCAGGGCACAAGGCAGCTAGAAGCTAGGAGGTGACAAGAACTAAGACAGCAGTTCCCAACAGGCACCTGTGCCCAGGGTCCAGCTGTCGCTGGCCTCTGAGGGAGGGTCCCTTTCCCAAAGGCCGGAGCTCTGGGCCCCGCTGGGAGCGGGAGGGAGTCAGGCTCGGCTGCATGCAGGGCATCTATCCAGGGCCTGGCACCTGGAAGGGGCCAATAAATGCCACTAGAGGAAACAAGCAAAACCACCCTGACATCAAAAAGTGCCCACCCTTCTGGCCAACCCTGGCCTCCTCTGGCCTGCTCTCAGCCTCCAGCACCCAGACAAAGAGCCGTCTGTGAAGTCCAGGAACTCCAAACAGGCCTCAGGAAAGGGGATCCTGCAATTAACACTGGCAGTCGGCACCTGGCCCTCGGGGGGCCTGAGACGAACCTTTTTCCAGAAAGGAGCAGAGACAGCTGGACATAGGCCGTGGGCTTCAGGCCCACAGCAGTCCCCAGAGCCCTCCTCTGCTGGGTCCTTATGAAAGCAGACATCTACCTGTGGGCCACTGAAAGTTATCTCACCTTATCCAAACCTTCCCTTCATCCTGTATTTTGCCTCTTTTATCTTCTATCACCCAACTTGTATTTATAGGGTAATGGCTACCACTCCCCCTCCCTTCCTCTTCTTCCTCCTCCTGTTTAAAAAAAAAAAAAAAAAGATACAGTAGAAAGAGACAAAGGTCTAGATTCAACTCTTAGCCCTGCTGGCGATTAACTATGGAACCTTTACTTCTTTGAACCTGTTTTCCTGTCTACAAACTGGAGTAATATAGTTATAAGGAGTCCTTCCCCCAGTCTGTGGGAGAATCTATCCTCCTGGAGGACAAAATCTAGGCCTAATTCTTCTCCCCTCTGACCCTTGTTTTAAGGGCAAGACCCTGCACTTGGAAAAGCCTCAACACATGCTAGGGATGGATGATGGATGCGTGGATAGTGAGTAGGTGAATGCGTGGAGGAGCGGATGGGTAGATGGATGGATGGACCCAGCTCCATGATATGCTCAGCACCTTAGCAGGGCAGGAGAGAGGACAGCTGATATGATCATCTCCGGTCTCTTCTTGGCGGGTCCTTCATCAGGGAGGCAGCTCCTAGAGGAGTGTCCTTTGGGATACGCTCTAGCTTTGACCCTGAAGCGGGGCCAACCATGAAGGTTCTTTCTGTCTTGGGTTGGCCAGGTCCTTGCCTAGAGAGTGTGGGGAGAAAAGGCCAAGCCTCTCAGCCTCATGGGGATGAAGTGAGTGGGGTGGGTGTGGCACCCTCTGGCCCAGGCTGGCTTCCCTGAGCAGCACATCGTAGATTCTTATGGAACCCAAACCGCCGCACCTCCCAGTTTTGAGCTCACTGTGTCCGAGTTCACGCCTACTGACACAGGGAACACCGTGGGGGAAAAGCGGGGGGATTGCCCCATTCCAACTGCATCTCCTCTCTTCCAGAATCTTGGTCAACATGGACAACAACATCATCCAGCATTACAGCAACCACGTCGCCTTCCTGCTGGACATGGGGGAGCTGGACGGCAAGATTCAGATCATCCTGAAGGAGCTGTGAGGCCTGCACTCCAAACTCAGACCCTGCGGGTAGGCTCAGGCCGGGAGCCAGCGGGAAGTGGCCCCAAGCCGCACACAACCTGTCCATGAGCCTCCGTGCTGTTACTTGAATGCCTTCCTCCAGGGGAGTCACAGATGTCAGGGCCAGGAAGGGGCCGTGGCGGCCTCCTGGTCTGAGCCCCATCCATGCTTGAATCTAATCCCGGAGCTTCCGGCCAGCACCGGCCTATGGAACACAGCACCTTTTGGGTGGGCCGGTGCCCACTGCCAGGTGAGCTCCTCCTCACACCGCCTGCAGGCTGCCCTCACGGAGGGGAAGCCACCTTCGGTCCCGCACGGCCACCTTTCTGGATCCCTCCACACCCTTCAGACCAAGGATTTCTCACTCCTTGGTCAGTGAACTTTTGATTCTCAGTGCAAAGGACTTTTGAAAAAGACACTGTCGTGGAAACAATATCTTGTTCATTGACTTCTTCAATGAGATGTAAATACTGGAGCTGACCGGAACAAAGTGACCTCTCTGTAAACTACCACCTTGCCACCCACTGTTGTACACATTTCTTATTTACAATTTCCCATTTATAATTCTTATTTACAGTTTTATGTTATATATATATAAGTATATATTGTATATATATGCAACATTTTATATTTTTCATGGATACATTTTTATCATTTCAAAAAAAAATCTGTATTTCACATTTCTTGGACTATTTTTTTTTTAGCTGTTAATCAGTTATACATTTTGTATACTCGTAGTATTTAGTAATAAAAGCTTACCTACGTATCAGTCACCTGCTGCAGAGCCCCTTTTGTGAGTTTCTGGCAGGAGAGAGGCTGGGGTGGGGGAGGTCTCTCCTCTTCTTCCTCTCTACCCCGATGTGAAGGATGGAAGTACCGTGAGCTCTTGCAAGCCAAGGTGTCCACCCTGACAGGCAGCAGAATCAGGACGTGGTCCCACAAGGCCCGCTGTTACTACCTTAGGATCACTGACTCTGACATACAGGCCCAGAATGGGCAAGACAAGGACCTCACAGCTGGGGCCAGCGCGAGAGCCCAGGGCCAGGAGCCATGAGACCTGAGTCTTGGGCCAACTCAGCCCCTCCTCTCCAGGCTGTCTCTTTCCCTGGAGGCGGCTCCTCCTGACTCCCAGAAGCCACTTCGCATCTCTTCCCCACTGTATGGTTCCCCACTTCGTGTTGAGATGTTGAAATCAGCCCGGGTGGAAGTGTTAAGGCCATGGATAGTGACAAGTACTATAAATCAGGCCCTTTATTTCCCCTGGGGAACAACTCACAAATCGGTGCTTGCTTGCTGGCTTCCTTCCTTGCTTCTCACTGCTACACCCTGTCCTGTTTCTTTGGCTTTAAAATGCAGGGTGTGTTCTACATCGGTCGTAGCTATCATTTCTAGTGCCTCTGTTTCCCTCCTGGGCCTCAAAGGCCCGTGATGTGAGCGAGGGGACAGCATTCCTGAGTACCTCCCTGACTTCAATCCCCGCAGCTTTACTTTGTAAATATTAGGGTTTCTTATAAATGTTTGTCTTAATAAAACTTTTTTATAAAAAGCTTGAAAACCAAGATGCCTATAAAAACTTAACTTCTAGACAGTCCATAGTCCATAGACCGTGCCTAGAGACAATAACACATTGGCCTCGGGGCCCCCCCAAATTAAGGTGTGCTAAAGAGCTCACTGATGAAGTCCAATAATAGTTCAATTTAATCTTTTTAAAATTAAGGCAGCCAGGGATATAGCTCAGCGGCATAAGCACTTGCCTGGCAAGCCTGAGGTCATGAGTTTGATTCCTGGTACCAAAAAAAAAGTTAAAATTAAGGCAAAATCTGAGTGTGGCGATTTACAGCTGCAATCACATCATTTTGGGAGAAAGAGGCAAATGGATGGCAGGTTTAAGCCCCGCCTGGACAACTTAGTGACTTCATGAGATCTTTGTCTCAAAAAGGCCCAGGGATGGAGCTCAGTGTGAAGGCCCAGGTTTCAATCTCAAATGCATTTTAAAAAATTAAGGTGAAAAATCCATGATAAACAAAGTTTCAAAATTACAGATGAGGTCAATATTACAGATGCTTCCTTTTGCCTCGGGCTCCAAAATGCACCGCTGGGGGACCGTGTGGTGCATACAAGGTTGCTTTGCCCCGTCCAAGCCTCACTGCTGCTGTGACATCCCCCAAGTGTCACAGTGAGGTGGTGTGCGAAGCTCAAAGGATAGGCGTGCAGAGCACCAGTGCAGCGCCAGTTAGTGGAGTTCATGTTTATTTCCTGCCGTGCTTCCTGCCCAGCTTCCTTCCTGGAGCCAGGAGCCATGGGGGAAACTGAAAGCTGGTGTTTCCCAACTCAGATTGCTCATCAGAATCCCTGGGCCTCTCTCTCCCCACCTCTCACCCCACACCCAGGCCCTACCCTGGAGCGATGTGACATCAGCATTTCCAGGTGCGGAGCCAGGCAGCAGAACTTTGTGAAGTTCCCTGGGCAATTGCAGTTTGCAATCAAGGCCAAGAGCTGCGGCTCCCCGGAGTTTATGGTCACACAGGCCTTGAACACTTGCAATGTCTTGACCTAGAATACTGCACTTACAGCATCGCCTGCGTTTTCACACAGCCTGCTGCAGAGCGCTGGGAGGGAGCTGGCAGCGTCCCATCCTCTTGCAGCTGTGCAGCCTCTAGCAAAGCCACAGGGGCAGCAGGGAAAGACAAGGGCAGTTGAGCCTAGAAAAGCCACTTGCACCCCAAGGAGAGGGCCACAAGCCTTGAGAAACTTTTTCACAAGTTTCCTGCCCTTGTGAAAGTCAGGGAGGAAGGTAGCTCCTGAGCCCCGCAGCTGCCATCCAAGATTACCATTCACTGCAAAGGGGTAGAAGGTGAAAGGAGTGGAAAGAAGGTGACTATCTTAGAAAGGCGGCTGGTGGCTGGTGAGGAGGGCATCGCTGCCTGCAGGTGACTATCACCCAGTGACTTAGGGTACATGAGAGCACGGAAAGGGGTGAAGGAGGAAGCCCAGAGAGAATGGCCGAGTAAAGAAATAAGAGGATGGAAGAGAGAGAGGGAGAGAAGGAAAGAGGGAGGAGAGGAGGAGAGATGGACGGAAAATACACAAGCAGATAGATGGACAAATGCAAGGCCAGATGAAGGCCTGAACAGCTGTTTTTATTTATTTATAACAGCTGTTTTTATTTATGTGCAGTACTGGGGATTGAACGCAAGGCCTCCACACTGAGCTACATCCCTGGCCCTTTTTATTTTTTGAGACAAGTTCTCTCTAAGTTGTTCAAGCTAGGCTTGAACTCATGACTCTCCTGCCTCAGCCTCCCAGAGTGCTGGGGTTAGAGGATGTGCCACCATACCCAGCTAATGAAGCATCCGCTCACCTCTTGCTACTTGAAGCATGGCCCCTGGACTAAGCAGCATCAGCACCACCTGGAGTTTGTTAGAAATGCAAAATCTCAGGCCCCACTCCCAGCCTACTGCATTTGAATAAGATCTCCAAGTAACCAATTAATACTATAGGTAGTATTAGTTAATACTACTTATTATACACAGCTACCTTAAGCCTAGCTACATACATTACTATCACACCAAGAACTTTAATAAAGATACTAGTAAAGGTCAGTGAAATCAGACTTTGAGGGCTGGGGCCTAGGCATGCTCCTGAGCCGAGTCTAGTAGCCAGCTGGGGCTTGCGGATCTCGGCTGGAGGGAGCTGTGAGGAGCCTATGATAATTTAACAAGGATGGAGTGATCAAAACAGACTCTCTGAGCTCAGCATCTTGGCCTGGCCATGTGGGCTGTGGGCACGGATTCTGATTGGCTGAGAGCTGTTTGCTGTTCTCTCCCCAGCCCTCTGTCCTGACTCACCTAGAGGGGCTTGGGAGACACAGGCTTCACTTCATGGAGCCCGCTGAGGCACCAGGAGATTTCACGTTGTAAGGAATTCCCCACTCTACTGACTGGCAGATCCAGAAGCCACTGGTTGGGGTTGCTCCGGATACTGTCGGAGAGCAGCAGCCTCAGCTCCTGCAGCCCCAGTGCCCACCCCACCTGTTTCACTCAGCGCATCACCGGATGCGGCCCTAGGAGCTTTAGACCCCGGAGCCCCTGCGCTCCTTCCTGCCAGCACTTCCCTTCCAAGAGAAGCCGAGGGCCTGCGCAGGCGCACAGAGTAGCCCTGCCTCTCAATCCAGAGCCCCTGCTCTCGGGGACAAGGCGCTCCAGGCTGCTTGTCATTCATTCCAAGGCCACAGGGCCTTTGTGAGAATCTAAGTTCACAAAAAGGCCAGCTCTTGTGGGAAGCAAGAATTCAGTTTAATTGAATATGATATCCATCCTTCTCCCTCCCTTGGCCTTCCCCGAAGAGAAAGCCAATCAGCAGGCAGTTCTGACCGGAAGGCCCAGGATGCGCCACTCACGGCAAAGTAAAGGGAAAGGTGTGAGGAAGGAGGGTCTGGCGTGGGGGACCAGGTGTGGGGGAGCAAGGAGAGAGGGGGTGTGGGGAGGATGCACGGAGACTCCTGCTTACAACGGTCCTGGACAGCATCAATATTTGGGGAAGGAGAGGGTGCACAGTTAGGTCTATCTAATCTCGGTTCTTCAGTTCTCTTCTTGCATAGGGAAAAAGATTTGGCAAGTCAGAAGAGATCCATGAAAGACTGCCAAACTTGGTCAACAGGTCTTTCTTGGACATTGGTGGAGAAGCTCAGTGAGGAGGGTGGATGGAGACCAGGTGCAGGCAGGGAAGGTGAGGGTGACAGCCCACAGACGCAGGGCACAGGTGGCCTTCCTGCCCCTTGAACTGCTATTTCCAGGGCTCGAGTTCCACAGGGCGCTGTCACATCTGCTGTTGGAGCAGAGCTATAAACTTTGGGGCAGCCTCCCCGGGGGTGAGTAATGAGTAAAGGTGACCAGCTTCCAGCTTCTTCCGGGAAGTGCCCTGTGAAGGTTCAGGGGGCCTGGCAACACCTTCAAGTGTCTGCCGCAGGAGTCACTGGCCCTTCCTGGCTCTTGGAAATCAGGAGTCTGGAAGCGAAGGGCAGATGATTGGGTCCACACCTGGGCACGCTCAGACCCCAGACACCTGGCTAGGCACCAGGTTTCTGGGCAGGGACTGCCACCAGCTACCTTCATGGAGGATGGATTCTCTTCTGTGGAGTCTGTGCTTCACGAATCCCTGAAGTCTGTGGAAGAGTTATGCCAGACAGAGCCACCTGCGCGGGTGCAAGGGAAGTGACCAGGGCCTCCATCCGCTCCTCCTTGCTGCTCAGGAAAACGCTGCAGCTGGTGGGGTGAGTTAATCTCCCAAGGCAGCTCGAGACAAGGTCACCCCAGCCGCTGTGCTACAGCACTGGGCAGGGTGACTTCGTCAGCAGCCGCATGTGAAACACACGTTCTCCAAGTGAACGTCCTCGGAGCTGGGGTGGAGGAGCTGTGGACCAAGGTTCTTCCTGAGCTCATGCGGCATTACTACATCACTGGCACCCATTTTTTGTCCTCGTTGTAGAGGAAGGACTGCTTCCCTGGGAGCTCGGGCTTGTATGTGGCTGAGGAGAGAGAGAGAGACACCGTGAGGAGAGAAAGGCGAGGGCGTGAGTCTCCAGCTTTCTACCTCAGACCTGGAAAGGCCAGGGGAGCCCTGTTGCAGCCCTGTGTCTCACAAGCAAGGATGGAGTGGAAGAAGGAAAGGAAGAGAGAGAGACAGAGACAAAGAGACAGAGACAGAGAGAGATAGAGACAGAGAGATAGACAGAGGGAGAGGAAGAGGGAAAGAGGGAGAGGAGGGAACTGGCCCCACACTACTGGGCTCTTAACTGGCCTCTGCCAAAATGACACTCTGGCTCTCAGCATTCTTTAACTCTTTTTAACTTCTTTAACAGAACAAAATTTGCAAAATGCTTTTGTATAAAAATCAAAAATCACACTGAATAAAGCAATATTTTTGAAGAAGCAAAGGGTTAGCGTGGTGGGTTTTGTTTTGATCCGGTCAGGAAATTTCCAGAAAGCCGTGACAGCTGCAGACATGGCTTCCTAGGGATGAGCAGCCAGGACAAGCCTGAAGTGACAGGAAAGTCTTCTGTCAAAGTGACTTGGCTGGTGAGGGTCCCTTGGATCTTCTTGGGGAAGTCCTGAGGGAGGCCCATGGCTGCCCGGTCTGTCTGCATCCCTTGGAAGCCATGAGGGATGTCAGGAAGCCCCTCATGGAGGCTCACGTTGGTGGAGGTGAGCACGACAGCAGCAAGCCGCCTGTACCCATGTGCCAGGCACCTTGCACTCAGGTGAAGGTCCTAGAGCAGTGGTGGCGAACCTATGGCACGCATAGGGCAGCGGGCACGCAGACACCTCTATGTCAGCACACAAGTGAAGTCATGCCAGCAGCTGAGCACTGCATACTCAGGTTTAATTGCAGTGTTGGCATTCTGCAATAAATAAGTGGGTTTTGGGTTGCAGGTTGGGCACTCACTCTCTAAAATTTTCTCCATCACGTCCTAGAGGATGGGGCCAATCAGGATCAGACAAGGGTCCCTGCCTGTCCTGAGGCCTCTGGGAGCTCCCTGCTTGTCTGAAGACAGGCACCTTTGCTGGACCAAATTGTGTTCTCCTGGATCAACCAGATTACCCCAGGGTCAAACCTGGGCTGTCTTGTTGGTCTGATTATCACTGCATCTGCAGAGCTGAGGTTGCCCAAGCTAGGATAATGCTTCTCTTCCCATCCCAGTTCCCTGACATTTTTATCACCTGTGAGTGTCTCCCCTACCAGACTGAGGCCTCTAGGGTGTGAGCACCAGTCCTGTCACCTTAGCCTCCAGGGTGGGAGTGTCCTTGGTGCGGGATGAAAGGTGAGCATCTCAGTTCTACCTTCCTCTGCCCGTGCACCTGCCACACTTGTCAATCACCAATGCTACCAGCTCTGGCCACTGTCAAGGTGTGGCAATAGCTAAGGGGAGCTACAGAGAGCTACAAACAAGCAGACAAGTACAGAGGCCACCCATGGGAGCGAGCCCCTTGAGACGTCAGCTCTCAGGGAGGTCCCAGATGTGACGAGCTTCACTGCTTAAGCTCATCTGTAGGAAGGGAGTGGAGCTAGATGGCTTCACAGAGCAGCTCCATTGGACGGTCCCTATCTTCTTCCATCAGAAACAAGGTGCGGGGTGGAGGGGATGTGCCTAGGCCCTCTGCCATGCTGCCAAAGAGCTGTGGGCACCTTGCTTTCCAGACCTTCCTCCCTATAAAACATGTTGGCCAGACTAGGACCGGTGCCTTAAATATTTTTAAGAACAAGGACTTTTCTAACAAAAGCCATGGCCCTATAGTACAGTGTCTACATGTTCCAAATCTGCAGACAGTCCAGGGTCACCGGCCGCCCACAGCCCATCCGTGACCTCTTGGACCTTCCTGGTCCTCCGTATGAATCCCTGACACCGATCATCTGTAAGAGCCCTTTCACCTTAAAAAAACAAAATATTTTTATACTCTGAAAATGTGAGCTGAGAACGCTCCTAAATCTGCCCTCACCCCTGTAAACTCTTTGGCAAACAGCCCATAAACCAGTGGTGTTTGATGGCTCAGGAATGGCAAACAAGCCCAGATTAGGTTTTCACAATCATTTAAAACAGTCCTCTGACCTGGACCAGGAAGGCCTGGCTGGGAAGGAGCCTTTATCCACCGGCTGGTGTTGGACACAAAGGACGCACTAGAGATGAAATGCTTGGTGGGTCCAGCGTAGTCCACAATCTCATACTGACCAGGGCCCGGAAGAGGTGGCTTTGGGGGCAGAGGCAAGGGCTGGGCTGAGAAGTTCAGGACGGGGTTTTTCCTTTGGAAAAGACAAAATGGGAAGTGTCACTAAAGCAGTCTATTGGGGCAATGCCAACTTTAAATGTGGCCAAACCATGCTCAGCATCAGGGGATCTGTGAGAGGTCCAGACATGGCTTCAGGAGATCTGACCAGTAGCCTAGCTCCTCTGCTTGTAAGCCCAGGGTCCTTGGCCTCGGTTTCCTCATCAGCACAGTGGTGATCATAGCAGTACCTACCCCATAGTCTCATGATCTGGGTTACATGAGATGATGCACTGGAAATAAGGTACTCAGACAGGGCTAGCACACAGACCTCACGATGTGATAGCTGCAACACTATTGCTGGACCAATCAGGAGAGACAAGCAGCACTAATCTCACATGCTGATCCTGATCAATTAGTAGTGCCTGGCTGGAGCTTTGTAAGATGAGGCCTCACTGGTCTTGGTGATCCACTTGTGATGTCTGCTATGGCCAGGCTATGTGAAGAATCACCCCATACTCTGCGTCCCTTCCAATTGTGATCCCTTCGTCAGGCCTTGATTCACAGTTCCACCAGACTGCCAGGGCCTGCCCATCTCCAGGTTGTTGGCAGTCAAGCCACTCTGCCCACCATGCTGGCGAAGGGCTTCCTCCTTCTGCCTTACCCCCAAAACTTCTTCTGGATCTTCCACCAAAGGGGGACAGAAGGTTCTCAGAGCACAGGACAGCCAGGGAGCCTCACCTCACCTTGAAGCAGAGAAGGGAACAAGGGATTCCTGGCCCCTGGTACCCTGATGCCCTTGGGCCACTACCTTCTAAAACCAAGACAGCCAGGAGGGCCTAGAGACATCTGGTCAACCTCCTTATATTGTTAAAGAACTTGGTGTCCAACAAGCAAACATAACACAAGAATTCATGTGTCTGGGGTGCAGCAATTTGGAGAAAGCATCATGGCAGAGGAGAGTTGGACTCACAGACCAGAGTCTGAATCCTGGGCATGCCACTGCTGGCTGTGAGACCTGGGATGGGGCCCCTGAACTCTCGTACTCTGTGTCTGTAACAAAGAGCCAGAACGCCCAGTCTTCACAGAGGTGAAATGATGAGTAGAGAAAAGGTATGTGAGGCACCTCTCGTGGTGCCACCACGCAGAAAACGCTCAATAGATGACACAGCTGTTATTATGAACATGATCCGCTTTGCCACAGAGGAGCAACCAAGCTTAGGAAAAAGAGTTAGGGCCCCCTCGTACTAGATTCACCCAGAGGCAGGGGACCCTCTTCCCACCAGAAGCCACCATCAATCTGCCTGAAGCATATGCCTTGTGGTGGAGGAACAGCTGGCTTGCATGCTTACATTTAGAACGCAGGTGCCCACAGGAAAAGGGGATACACCGCTTCACTCCCCCTCCCCCACCCTCCATGGAAGAACAAGTTACCAGGTGTAATTGACAACCTCTCCCCTTGTAAATAAGTGCTGGCCTCTCCCTCTGCTGGCTGTGGCTCCCCCTGCAAAGCACCCCTGGAAAGTTAACGAGTGGGCGATTTGCCTCATTGGGAGACGAGCTTGATTCCTGGAAATCAGTTCTAGATTGAGCCAACCAATATATGAGGCCACCTGTTGGTCTGGGTCACCTCCCATTCTTTGAGAAGACCATGGGGTGGCCACTGTCCTAACCAGGGCCTCTTGCACATGGCTGCAGCCTGCTGGTCCTGTATCCCATCAACACTGGCCAGAACAGCCCGAGGGGTGCCTGCGTGGTTCTACCAGCTCCCCAGGTGGAGTTTGGGCCTTAACCCCAGCGCTAGGGGTCTTAGGTGAGCACCAGCCCTGTGTGCAGCTCCCTGCCTGGCGGGGGGAGTCCAGACTGCTCAGTGCTAAGGCCCAGATCTGAATGTTCCCGAGCACCGGGCAGTCCACTTCTAGTGACAGTCATGACTGGTGACAGCAAAGGCAGCACTCAGAGCTGGGCTTCAGTGTCCCTGTTCACCAGCTGTGTGTCCTTAGAAAGGCGCCTTGGCCTCCCAACCCTCCCTGGTTTCTTTGTCTGTGAAACAGTGGGTAGGAACACCTGCCACCCAGGATTACTAACTAGATTAACTAACTAACTTGGGTTACTCTTAAACGTGAGAGCACAGACATACTGAGACCCTGTCTCAAGAAAACCACTGCAAAATAAAAAGAGAGTTAAGACACTAATCCCTACTGGGTGAACCCAGAAATCCACACCGGGGAGGTAACATTTGCCCTTGAGCAGAAAGGTGGGGAGGGGCATTCTGGTGTGGGTTCAGCAGGGGTGCAGCACGGCCCACCTGGAGGGGGATCGGAACACAAGGGGAGAGGCTGCCTTCAGCCTCCACTCGTGTGGGATTTCTGCCTGTTCTCTCATTCCTGACAGCCCTTTACAAATCCGATGAGCAAATAAGGGAGAGCAATCTGCAGGCCACTCCACCCAGCCTGGCGTCCTGTGCCCCTTGCTCTATTTTACCTTCCTAACCACTCAGCACAGCACTGTCCTGCCACTCTGTGCCTTTGCCCGCACTGTTCCTTCTGCCAGGGACCTTCCCTGCAATCTCTGATTCATTCTTCCCATTCCCACACTTCAGGGAGCCCCCTCCCGCCCCCTCCTGTCAGGGGAGGGTCCCTCTCCAAGGCTCAGCAGAGCAGCACGGGGTTCGGAGGCAGATGGCGCCTGATGCCGGGCCCGGCTCTGGCACTGCCCTTTAGGATGGGCCTGGTACCGCTGTTCTCTAGAGGAGAGGTGGGCGATGACACGAGATGCCCCATGGGCCAAGTCCTCAGCTCAGTGTGTCCGCCTCTCGAAACACGCTGGAGATACTCCCCTCCATTTATAACACCTGGATTTCCATGTGTCTGCTTGCCTCGCTTTTTAAGGGAAGAGATTGTGTCGGACACAACTTTGAGGGCCTCGTGCCTGCTCTGGGGACATTCGCTGAACTGCAGAGAAAAGCAGAGAGGTCGAAGCAAGTGAGGGTCCCAGACCCTGATTCCCACCCGACGTGTTTTCCCTTATCCAGGTTCCTGGTGTTGAGGAGCGGTGGAAAATCACTAAGGTCAAGCAGATCATTCCCAGGGCAGCCCCAGCGCCTGGTGAGTGGGGCTTTTATGAGCCTCATCACTTAGCTCTGACAGCCATCCTGCTCTAGCCCTGTGGAGAGAAAACTGCCATCAAAGGCCCTGAGTGGCCGCTACCGGATTAACTGTGTTGGCAGCTTCCAAGGTGAGCTGTTTGCAAATGGCCCCAAATAATGAATGTCCTCAAGGACTCAGCAGGTCACCTGGGGAAGGCATCCCTTTCGGGGCACTCCCAGGCACTGGCTCATTCTGCCTCAGGGATTCCCAGGGTTGGGAGGGAGAAAGGGGCCATTTTTCTCAACATTAAAGGGCAGCCGATTGCCTCTGGGTGGAATGCAGTATCTGTTTAACGGAGGAGTGGGTGACAGATTACAGCTGCTTGGGAAGAAGCACCCCATATCTAATTGAAAATCCCAGGGGAACTTTAGGTGGGTCCAGTGTAATTAGCTAACTTGGAGCAGGGCCAAGGGGCTTAGTTCTCCGGCTCTGGCTGTGACAGGACCGTGTCCGTGTGAAACCAGCCGCTTAAGAGCTCCAGGAAGTGGACCAAAGGGTTAGCAAGCTGTCTCCAGGGGTTCCCGCTCCTCTTGGTGAGCGCAGGTTGGGAGGTGGCAGAGGAGAAACTATTGTGATCTCTGAAGCCTTTATCTGACTCGGCCTACCTCACTGAGTCACCACTCTGCTGGGTATGGAAGACCTCCAGCAGTGAAACCTCGGAGGGCACGTACTTGGCTCCCCAAGACACCCTGGGAGCGGCTAGAGCCTCCCGCTTTGAGTCAGCAAGGCAGCCACAGGATGGGATCACCTGTGGCTGACACACCGTGAGCCAGGCCTGGCGACGCCCCATGGGGCCACCAAGGACCGGCTGTCACGCTCGCTGGGGTAGAGCCATGGGAGTTCGATGGGACAGCTCCTTCCACCCTGGCAACCACAGTCCCCAGGCCATGAGGTGTTAATGACTGTGAATCCTCGGAGCTAAGTGAGTTTCCCCCCTCGAAGCCTCTCAGGCGGGTCAGTGGCGAAGGCAGAGGTGCCATGTGTCCTGGCCCAGGGTCTGTGCCAACCCCCTGCCCACACAGCCTGTGCAGCCTCCCCGGCCCATTCCCTGCCCTGCTGGTCACCTCCTGAGCACTTGAGTCACATCCCCCATCCTCTCGCTTCTCTATGTCAGTAACGTGGGGCCAACAATGCCAGGGAGCGTCCACACCAGCCCAGTTCTCTTCCTCCTGAAGAAAGCAGAGCCGGCAGACTCTTTAACAAGCAGTCACCCTCCCCAAGGACAGAGGGCAAGCAACTCCAACCCTGGACAAAGGAGGCCGTTCTCGTGTTGTGTCGTGTCATGTCACACACACGTGAAGCCTGGTGGCGCAGGTTGCACGGGTTTCCAAGGGATGAGCGCGATAAAGACTGCTAGATTCCTCAGCACAGCTCCACGTGGCCCCGGAGGTCACAGGCGCCCGGATCTGATGTGGACAGAGTCGGGATGACAGTGACAGCTGGATGCGGAGGAAGCAATGCACATTCCTGGGGACCCAACCCCCCCAGATCATGGCCCCAGGAGACTTCTGTCCCTTGCTGCCCCTCGGGGCCACAGGGAGAGAGAACTGGAACTGGGCGGACTGGAGTTGGGATGTCCCTTCAACGTCCCCTCATCCAGCTGTGTCTATTCTATTTCCTCTCATCCGGCGTCACTCACCACAAGAGAGGGAGGCTTCCAGGGAAGAGTCGGAAGCCTCTCTGTTTATCTTCTCGCTTTTGAAATAAAACAGCAGACTTCCCAGTGCCACCCTTTCTGGGTCAATTTAAAAATGTACATTTTGGGCTGGGGTTATAGCTCAGTGGCATAAGCGCCTGCCCAACAAGTGCAAGATCATGAGTTCGATCCCCTGTGCCTCAAAAAACAAAACAAAACAAAGCAAAACAGAAAACATTGGGGCTGGGGATTTAGCTCGGCGGCACAGTGCCTGCCTGGCAAGTGCAAGGTTGTGAGTTCAATTCCTGGTACCGGGGAAAAAAAAACAACAACAAAAAATGTACACTTTGGACCTGCTCTTCTGAGTCCAAATGCACTGTGAGCCCCTCTGTGCACGCCCCCTCAAGTGTCCTTGTGAGAAAAGTTGGGGTCTGAAGCACCAGACAAAGGCAGAGAAGGGAAGGCCCAGAGAAGTGCTGAGAGCAGCCGTGGACCACAAAGGTTCTGCTGCAAACCTCGAGGCACTCTCCACTCATCAAAAGGAACCCAGGGAGGGGCCACTGGATCTAACAAGTTCCCTTCCTGCAGACCTTCTCAGAGCCTTTAAATGCCTGGGTGCACGGGGATGCTCCCAGAAGCAGAGGGTCAGTGTGCAGACCACGGATCTTTCATTCACACAGCACAGAGGGAGAGCAGGTAAGCACCGGCTGCCCCAGATGCTCCCTACTGCTGCCTGTGGAAATGCAAGTGGCCGTGAAAGCTCGGGGGCCCCCTCAGGAACCAGCTTTTGTAGCGAACTCCCCTGCTCCCGGGTGAACCTGGCTGACAGTGTGGGGTCCCATTCACCTGAGCACCCCCACACCCTCCAGTGCAAAACCAGAGCCCTACAGGGCCTGCTGACGGACAGGAGCAAATACCGGAAAATGAGAATAATCCTAAACCGCTCTTCCAACAAATACCACACGTGAGAACAATTTTAAACTGCTCCTCCAACCCTGAGCAAAAGCTGAAAGACTCTTCCCTGGGTGAAAAGATGAAAATTGAGCGAGCAGGGCAGGGGAGACAGCTCAGCGGTCAGGTGCTTGCAGCGCATGTGCAAAGGCCCTTGCTGCGCATGTGCAGAGCCCCGAGGTCTGTCCCGGCACCACAAACAGAAGGACAACAACAGACTATTCTCCACTCTTCTGTCTTATGTCACCATTTTCCTTGAGGAAGCTTCCAGAGTTGGGCTGAGAGCTTGAGCTGCCCTCCCCAAGAGCAGCTGCACCCCATGTCCTACTGTGTCTGTAGGAGGTAAGGTGACAGCTGCCTGGGGGTGGCTGTCCCTTCCCCAAGTGTGAACAGCAGGTGAGGTCCATGCGCTGAGATGACACAGGGAGCCCCACAAATGTGCACAGCTTCGCTGCGTCAGCTGGGGAAAAAAGCACTTCTCTTTTCCAGCTCCTTGCGTCTAATCCTAACAAAGCCCACGCAGGTGAGATTCCCATCCCCGCTGTACCCAAGGCCCCAAGAGACAGGAGCTCAGGAGGAGACAGAGCTGGGATTCACACTCAGATCTGCGACAGGCTAGGCCTGGCCTCGTAACCACTCTTTCGCTGGCGGAGGAGAGAAAAGGCTGTGACCTGAGCCAGCCTGGGGGCAGGAAGTCACTGACCTTTGGAGGGAGCTCTTCCTGGACACTGGCCCCGGGGCTTAGGAAAGGTCAACCTCCAGACCCAAAGCCCAAGGGCCAGAAAAGACTTCCCTAGCAGCCTCCATCTGGGGTCTAACTTCCTCCTCTAGATTCTGTGCGACTTGGAGGACCTGTCACGTGCTCCTCTGACCCGTCCCCTTGCCACAGGACTGCCTGGACTTCCAGCCCGCTGCACCTGTGGCCCCAGACACCTGCCTGGCCTCTCTGGAAGGGTTTAGGTTGCAGCTATACGCTCAGTCCCAACCATGCCCCTCCAATGGCCAGGCCTGCCTGAGGGGCTCCTCAGGGAAGCGCGGAGGGTTAGATGGTGACGCCACTGACCTCAACAGCAATCAATTCTAAAAGTTCCATAACCGTTTGAGGATTATAAGCCTTGTGTATTTTTAAGCACCTAAGATAAAAGGAACATTAAATATGTTGGATATTAAAATGAAAACATGGGTATCCGCTTCCAAATTTTAAATTTGTATTACTATTAAGTAAGCCACCGTGTGCACCTACCGTATGTCTAACATGTACAATATTTTTACTCTGAAGGCAACTCTATGAGGCAAGGTCACACAGCAGAGCTGAAGTTCCAATTCTGCAAGTCTGACCAGCTCCAAACTCTGGGCTTTAAATCTCCATCAGTACAAGCTACACTGCTTCCCTGTGTCTTGTCACCCCGTGGAGATTTTATCTCATGAAAATAGAATAATGTCAGCACCCAGAGAGTATAGCATCATGGGGCATGTGGGAATATCAGATAATTCTGAGCCCTATTGCCTATGGGTCCTCACATTAGCTATGTGTACTTAGCCAAATCTCAGCCTCACTAAAGCCTACCTTCTTCTGCAAAGTAAGAATAATTATTCTTATAATAGGGCTCTCATAGCTGAATGAGCTTTTAAATTCTGGGAACATAGAAATTGCACAATTAATATTTTGCTTCCAACAAGTATTTACTGAGCACTTACTACGTGTTAACTAGGGCTTGTGACACAGCGCTGACCCCCTCCCCCTCTGCCTGTGTTCGGGTGGTGTCCCAGAACCACCCTGCAAAAAAGGAGCAGAAGGAGATGGAGAAGAAGAATCAGAACTCACGGGATAACAGACTTTTTCAAAACTTTGGTGCGATCATTTGGGTTGTAATAACCGGGTCCTGGGCCTGTTGACGTCAGTTTTAATCCACGGTCAGTTTTTGATTTAAAACAAGACATTAATATCTTTGGTGACTGCTTCACAAGGGATTCGTTGATATCATAATGCCCTAAATAGAAAAAAGAATTAAGACAGAATAAGGAATTGTTCTCAAAATAGAAAAAATAAATGAACAGCAGAACCTTACCCCAAGTGTCTTTGTAAGGCGATAACAGTCCAGGGTGGTCAAATGGCACAGCGGCCCGAGCCAGCTCAGAGCTACACTCCCTGCGCAGAGAGCACAGGTTGTGTGTGTCACACACTGAGCGCGCTTGCTCCTCACCGCAGCCTGGTGTGATGGGCACAGCACCTCCACTCTTGACACGAAGAAGGTGAGACTCAGAGACGCCAAATGATGACGTTCCTCTCACCAGGGACAACTCTCTCAGTCTGCCTGGAGGCCAGCCCCCTCCTCTACACAGCAAGAATAATAAAAGCTCCCAGGCACAGGGGTCTCATGATAGTAAAATACTATTTTAATGGTTGCCTTATAAATATTACATAAGCAATAAGTATTTGTGGAGCACCTCGCACGTAGAGAGAGGTCTACCTGGCTCCGGCGCCCACCTCCCACCACGCCTCTACGCTGTATCTGAAGAAACTGGATAAGAAGCCAGTTCATTTGTGCACAAAGCTTCAGAGGGGAAAAAGCCCTGAGCCAGAGCGAGGGGAGGGGCTGACCCCCTCAACTGGTGGTAGCCTTGAAAACAGGTGCAGGTGTTAGAGGTAAAAACAGCAACACCAGGCAAAGGCCTCTGAGACGCCTACACACTGGGACCCAAGTTTCCCATTCCTTGGGAAGAATGGAAAGGTTCGAGGTCCTCAGCTGTCCCGGGAAACAGCCTGGAAGTCCCTGTCCAGGGGCAGGGTGAGTACCAGGGCCAATCTGACAGGATGTCAGCCCTGACTGTAATAAATGTGAAGCCCACGAGGCCATGTGGATGTGTTTTGAAAATATGCACGAGTGGGAAAAAATAAAGCCTAGAAGTATTTCAAATGTTTAAAGCAGTGTAAACTGCATCTTAATTGTTTTAAATAGAACTTACTTGTCCATTGCAAAAGTTCTGAAAACAATAGGGTCCAGATCAGCAAGGTTTTATTGAAATGACCTTCTCCCTTGATGGCAAAGGTGAGGGAAACCAGGTGCTCTGAGACACGGAGGCTAAATCACCCTTGCACTGAAGGGCGATTTGATCACAAGCATCAAAATTCTCAAATATTTTACATACCTTTTACCTTAGCCATTCCACTTTAAGCAATTTATATAAGGAAGGGTTTTTTGTTGTTTCGTTTTTTCTTTTTGTTTGTTTTGTTCTCCAGGACTGGGGAATCAAACTAGACCCTCTGCCCTGAGCTTCAGCTCCAGTCCTTTTTTATTTTTTATTTTGAGACAAAGTCTCATCAAGTTGCCCCAGTTGCCTTCAAACTTGTGTGTGACCCACCTGCCTCAGCCTACTTGGGTGTAGCTGGGATTACAGGTGTGCACCACCCAGCTCGGGAACTACGTTTCACCTTTGCCTGTAAAATGGGGATAAAGGAACAACGGCTCCCTGAGAATGTGTCCTGTGGAGGTTTGAGGCATTCAGTGTGGCAACATATGCACAGCCTGGCACACAGGGGGTGCTTGGCAGGTGCCAGGATGCTGTCTCCTGCTGTGCTGGGTTACAAAGAGTTGGGGATGACACAGCACCCTCCAGGAAGGAGCAGACCCGTGTGGCTGGCTACGGATGCCCACAACCCAGGGCTCCCTGGCGGGGACTCTGGCCAAGCCCCAGGGACGCCAGTTTTTTCCTCCACGCTAACACACAGGTGGGGCTTCGCCCTCAGATGACGCAAGGCGGGAGCTTTCCCAGGCTGAGCCTCCTAATTAGCACTGGGTTTGTTCTGCAACTTGACTGATCTTCTCAACTTTAATCTGGATTTGCTGAAATCTGATGGGCACTGCAATTTTCTCCACAGCTCCCTGTGCAAGAGGCGCGACTGCAGAAGGCAAGCCTCCCTACCCTCCTCCGGGCTTGGGGCCCAAGGCTCCCTGCGGGGGGCTCCAAGGTCCCTCTCACTGATCTAGTAGCACACAGGGTGCATGCACAGAAGCACCACGGCCTTCCCGCAGCCGGGCTGTGTGCAGTCCAGAGGTTCCCAGGGGCACTGTAGCAGGACAGGCCAGAGGGCTCCTGGGTCAGACAGCTCTGGGCTTGGGTCTGCCACTTACTGGCCAGGTTGACACTGGCCCAGTCATTTCAACCCTGGAGCCTCCAGTTTGTCACCTGAAAATCAGGGCTAAGCGCATGGAGCGGTGAGGACAGGCGCCTGCGAGCTGCGTAGGAAACACCTCCCTGTGGAGCAGGTCGGGAAACAGCTGTCATACCCGCCGTGTTCTAGTGAGGCGACCAGGTCACACAGCCCAGTACCAAGTCTGTGCTAAAGGATCAGGATAAACTGCCACTCTGTCTCCCTCCCTGGCCAGGGGCTGCAGTGGCACCTGAAGCACGTGAACCTGCAGCCTTTTGAGGAGAGAGGCCACTTGGCACCTGGCTGTGTAGCTTGGTCACGGGAAGGGGCAAGAAGGCTGCTGGGGACATTTCCAGGGCCAGCCACATTGCACCTGGAGAGGAAGTCTCTCCCTGCCTCTTCCTCTGCCCTCCCCTCCCCCTCCCCTTCCTCCTCCCACGGCCCAATGCCATCCACAGAGAACCCTACAAAGAAACAGGCGCCTGGGTGTCAGAGCTGGAGGGCTGAGCGTAGGTGAAGGGTGGCCCAAGGAGCTGCTTACCTGGAGCGGGTCCCTTGTCAGCGGCAGCAAACAATCCTCTTGGGGTTTTGGATATAAACCCAGCTCGGGCGGACACATTATTTTGCTGCTGGCAGCAAGAGATGGAAGCCTGGGGAGGAAAAACACCTGATGTGCTCAGCCTCCGTCCCCCATTGTCCCAACACAAAGGATCTGTGATCCCCAGCAAGTCTGGCCACCCAACACGGTGCAGAGGACAGCCCCTGTGTGACCCTGCTCGGGCTGTTTAACCTCTCTGAGCCTGGGTTTTCTCATCTGTACAATGGCTCCAAAAAGTAACTCCCTGCAGGGAATGGGGTGGAAGGGTACCAAGGCCAGCAGAAATCACCTGTAGGAATGTGTTTTTCTAAGGGCGTCCTGCTGTATGCACAAATTACTTTTCATCATTTTTCTACTGATTTTATTCTTTTCAGAACACTTAGCACTACCTGTCCCCACCCTGATCCCTAGCTACATTCCTCACTGTTCAAACAGTCCCTCCATAAACATAGCATTTGGGGTACACACGAGAATCCTACATTTGAGATGGTAAGCGCTCCCTTGGCTCCACTGTTCTGGATTGACCAGAAATTAAGAATTTTGCCTGTTCCCCGCACTAGGCGGTTGAGGATACCTACTGTGTTCCGAACGCTAAAACTAACGAAGAAAACAAACTCCTGAGCGCATTCTTCTGTTACACATGAATCACAAATGTTTTAAATGCCAATTTGCAGCCAGTCTCCTATATTCATAGATAACAGATGCAATAAAAAGCATGCCTGCGCTCCCTCCCTGGGAATATTTACTGAATGAGTGAAACTGGGTAGTGGTGCCAGGATGGTTTGATTTTTCTGTGATACTCTCTTGTCAAAAAAAAAACGTTTCTTGACATATGCAGACGGCATTTGGATTGGGTGTTGACAAAGGTGGAGGAGTTTTGCTTTTCCCAGGGTCCTAATGGCCAGGCTGCATGCAGAGAGGGCAAACAAAAAGGCCAGATGGGCAGGCTGATAATTAGTGGCCACAGGAGAGGAGCCAAGCCGCCCGAGAGTAGGTAATAACATGGTATCAAGGGAAAGCGTTCCAAGGGAGAAGCAGGGGATCGCAGTGGCCCAGGCAGAGCGAGGCCCAAAAAACCTCAAAGTGCAGCGTGGCTAACAAGATTATCAGATTCCTACTCCTGCCAGCTGACTCCACCATTGTTCTCCTGGGTGGAAAACTTAAAAAAGTCTCCTGCAGACAAAACAGCGCTGCAGCTTTATTCCTCACCCAGACAGCAAAGCCACTTGGAACGGGGGCGTTTATGTATACACTGTGACATGGGAAGGTTTCGCCATTAGACTAGGAAAATAGTCCGCAAGTTCCAAGATCAGGCAGCAGAGCTATTGGACTGCCATGCAGAGAAGAAGCCCGAGATCTAGTTAAGCAGAAAATGTGTGTGGATGGGGCTGCAGCATGACCCCGACTCTGGTGCGAGGGACCAGGGAGAAGAGGCTGAAAGCCATCGCACCTGGCTGTGAGGCATGGGTCACCTTGGCAAGCAGACTTATGAGGGTCTTTAATTGCAATCCGCAGGGCTCCACAGTGCTCGAGAGGGTTTTGTGATGAGTAGGTGTTATAATTATACTCAGAGGCACATTAAAATAGTAATGAACAATAAAAAGGTAGATAACAGGAAGTTGGGAGATCTTTTTTGAATGGGATCAAGAGACCGAAGGAGAGGAAGGAAAGGGCATGAAAACAGGAACGCTGTTTTCATGCTGTGAACATGTACCAACTCTGCACAAGGACTTGCAAGCATGTACTAACAGGTGCCAGGCATTTAGCTCAGTGGCACAGCGCCTGCCTGGCAAGCACAAGGTCGTGAGTTTGATTCCCAGTACCGGAAAAAAACCAAAAAACAAAAAAAAAAAAAAAAAAGCATGTACTAATAAATAGAAAATATTAAAACCAGGAAAAAATTAAATCTAGGTGGCAAAAAATAATTGTAATGAACAGAACCCACGCACCTACTATCTGTTGATCTGCTGGCAGAGCACACAACTTTGCCTTAGGAGATGGTCCCTGCTAGATTAACATCTGGACAGAACAGAGGGCTCGTCCTTTGATGTCATAGACATTCACTGCATCCGGGGCCTATGCCGGGCACAGGAGAGATGACGCCGGGTGCTTTAAGGCACACATGGGGGTGGCACAGCCGAAAGACATAGGGCCCCCATGAGCACAGTCCACGCCGTGTTGGTCTCCCTGTTGCCCTGGTCCCCTGGGAGTGGCAAGGGTGCCGTGGCCGTGCACCTTCATTGTGCTTCCGGGGACCACAGCATGTCCCCTCTCCTGCTAGCCCAGCAGTCTCCCCGCTCGCCTTCCGGGACCCAGGCTGCAGTTCTCCACACAGCAGCTGGAGAAGCTGTCAGAAACAGTGCCTCACTCACACCGCCCACACTCCCCCTGCCACAAGCTTCTCCGTGCAGAGAACGAAGTTCCAGCTCCCTGCCGGGCCTTTCGGATATGCTGACCCAGCCACTGCCTGCCGCCTGGCCTCCCCTCTCCTCCTAGCTCACAGTACATAGCCATTCCAGCTTCTTGTAGTTCTCATGGACAGCTCTTTGCTGTCCAGGACCTGTGCACAATTCTGAACTGTCTTTTAATTCTCGGTCTCAGCCTCTGAGCCTTCTCTGATCACCGAGGCTAAAGGGTGCTACTGCCAACTCTGTATCTTCGCACCCCCCCATATTCTGTTGCAGCTCCCTGCTCAAAGCTGACCACAGCTTGAAATTATTTTGTTTGTCTGCCCAGTTCTTGCCTGAGTTCCTCATTGACTACAACTGTATCACCAGCCTGGCACAGAGTAGAAACAGAGCTCATGAAGAGAAGCCTGGCAGGAGCAGCACAGCAGGACTAGCTGGGCATGATGGCGCACACTTGTAATCCTAGCACTCTGGAGGCTGAGGCAGGAGAATCTCCATGAATATGAGGTCAGCCTGAATTACACAGTAAGACCCTGTCCAAAAAAAAAACCCAGCAAGACTCCAGGTATCCTCCAGCTGCCCACTGATGCCAAACAATCCATTTGAACTGGGTAATTTAGGGCAAGTCCCATCACATCTCTGAGCCTCAGCTTCCTCTTCTGTAAGTTGAGAATAAGATCATCTATGTTGTGGATTCTTGTGAGTATGATATATGATGAATAAGTAACTCTTAGCATTTAGTCCATGAGAAGTATACTACCATCATTACTACATTCACCCTATTGTCCCAAGGGAAGACTTTCTGGAGTTGTACCACCCAGTGCAGTAGAGGAGCTGTGGGTATTGTGGCTATCAAGCCCTCAAAATACAGCTTTCAGGGCCAGGGATATAGCTCAGTGGCACAAGCGCCTGCCAAGCAAGTGCAAGGTCCTGAGTTCGATTCCCGGTACCAAAAAAAAAAAAAATACAGCTGTCAAAATACACACTGGGCTTTAAACACTTAGGACAAAAATAATAATAATAATAATAATAAAAAAACACTTAGGACAAGAAAAGAATCTTCCTAAAATATCTAATTAATAATTCATTAATTAGATCGATTATCTGTTGAAATAATATTTGGGATATTCTGGGCTCAATAAAATATATTGTGAAAATGTATTTTACCTGTTCTTTATGTTTTAAATATGGCTACTAGAAGATTTTATTTTGCTTGTTTGTTTTTTGTGTTTTTGACACAGGGTCTCACTATACAGTTCAGGCTGGCCTTGAGCTCACTTTGTAGCCCGGGCTGGCCTCGAAGTCGCAACAATCCTACTGCCTCAGCCTCCTGAGTGCGGGGATTACAGATGTGTGCCACCACGCTGGGCATTCTAGAAGATTTTAAACGACACAGCTGGATCCTGCTACATTTCTACTGGGCAGTGGTGGTGTAAAGCTCAGATTGGCTCGAGCTCACTACAGTGGATGGACTCAATCATGGAAGATAGGCAGGGTCTTTGTCGTTAGAAAAATAAATATGATTTATGAATATTACAAAAGCGGACATCAAAAAATGAAGTAGTGAAGGACAAATATGTTTCAGTACACATAATAGTGTTACCATTTTCTGTACAAGTCTCATTTCAGAGTACTTGCATATTGCATATAATAATGGCTTCATATAATAACGCCACAGGGCAGGCAGGATTAACTCCGTCTTACTACTGTGGCTCCAGGGTAGCGGGACCTGCCCAAAGACTGTCCCAGCCTCTCCACACGCTGTTTAGTCCTTGCATACTAGCTCCCAGCTGGGTTATGTCATTTTGGATTAATGTTAACACTGCGAGGTAAACAGATATCCCTGTTTTACAGCCCAATAAACTAAGTTCTGAGAAGGCTAAGGGACTTGCTCGAGGCCATACAGTTAGACTGCAGGTTGAGATTTGACCTGAACCTTCCCATCCGTACCATTCTGCCCAGTGATTACGTGGCCGTCACGATTGGCAAAGCAAGATAGCTAAAAATAAAAAACTTCCTGACGCAGACAGATAGAAGCCAATTTTCCCAAAAAGAACCTAAACATTAAATGAATGGTAAATAAACAGATAAAGGACAAAAGAAGGTATCACTACTACAAAGGAGAAAACCATGTGCCTGAAAGGCTGTGTGACTGGAATGATTAGATTAAAGGTATTTTTCACTGCACAGGTCTGCTTACTGGTGTCCACTGGCCTCCACATCACCCACGCTTCTCTCTGGGTTCAGCAAAGTCCCTATCAGATTCTGGCACAGAATTCATCCCCATTGGGTAGACAAGTGCAGCACTCAGATACTATTTTCCCAAGCTCCTCCTCGTTTTCATTTCAGCAAACCATTCATTCAATGTGTTTTTAGCCCGCAGACTCGGTGCTCTTACATTATAATGGTTTGGGGCCGGGGTTTCAGATTTGAGCGCTTTCACACGGATCGGTAACTGGAACATGCTGGAGCAGGAATTACTGAAGTCTTTCTTCGATGCAAAATGGGATGGGAGAGTGTACGCATTCGCCGCAGGATATTTAGAAATAATGGTGTCCAGCCGGGCGCTCTGTGAAGAGAGAAAAAGCCACAGGAATCAGTGCTGCCATGGAATCTTGTGTCTCTGAAGGACAGGTGTCAGAAAGATGGCACCTAGCACCAGGCCTACAAGCGTTTTCTAAAAGGTGACATTGTGGCTGGTGACAATGATAAACTGACCTCGGGCTTTGAGCATTCGCTTTTGGAAAATGCAAGTTCAGGCCTGTTTGATTGCTATAAACCACCTCGAATTATTCATCTTCTGTTTGGGACTTGGCAAAAATAATTTTGCCATAAATGCATTTCCACCCAACCCTGTTCCGGGCCACCTAGACTTGATTCATCAGCTGTTGGGTAATTCATGCAGTGGGAAGCTTCAGACTGTCTTTCCCCAACTGAGGCTTTCCTCCTGCGTGAAACTCTGTATCTTGTTCCTAAGGTTAAGTGGTCCGAACGGCCTCAACACCAGTGCTTCCAACATCTTAGAATCAGAAGGCCCAACAAGACTGGCCGTCCACCCGTGCCTCCTAGCCCCACCCAGCAAATTACTGTTTTCAAAAAACCCTACCATCTTTCTGCTATTTCAACAGAACCAATACCATTCCTTTCAGGAAGCCACGACAAAATATTTTCAGTTAACAAACAAACAGAATCAGTGTTTGCCAAATGAACAGGGACAAAAGCCATAGAAACTCGGTGATAACATCGCTTTAGTCTCGGAGAGCATGGCAAGTATTGGAGTCTGATAAAACAAAATATTTCCCATAATTTTATGGTTAAAAGCTTGAGAACATTACCCTGGGTGTTCTGGGCTTGATAGGAGTGGATGACTACACAAGCACAGAATCTAAGGGAAGCCGAGGGGCGCGTGAGCTCTGGGTCCCCGCTTTGCCCTGTGCTGGTGGTGATGATTCTCAGGTCTGGTTCGCGGACCACAGTGGTCTGTGGGGGTAGGCGGGTGAACCACCAGACACAAGAGTCTTCCCATTCTGATCCTAACCTGGGTTCGAGCCCCAGCTACACCTCCCTCTAACCATAGTTATCTGTTGATGTTCTCAGAAGTAAGCCCACATACATTTGCCTTTGCATTTTGGCCAATTGTTTACCACGTACTTTTTGTTTCCTTTAATTCTCCTGACAACTCTGAGTGGTGGGTGCTGTACTGGGATTATTCGCACTTTGCAGGTGAAGAAACCTGTTTCTTAAATGGTAAGACCACTATTCTCAGCCAGGCGGTCTGCTTCCTTATGGAATGGCCAGAGACTCGATTCCAAAGAGGAATTAGCTGGGAGCATGGCCCTGGGGTTATAGCAAACTTAGTTGATCATGGAATCTTTTGGGGCTTAAAAGACCTATTAATTTTACATTTTGGGAAAAAAATTCCCAATAGAGGCAAGTTTCATAAGGTATCATAAAAGGGTTCATTTCAGAGTGTAGCTAAATTAACAGTCACCAGTACTCCACACCCCTGGGTTAAACTGTGGTGTCCAGTCTGGCCATACGATGGTATTTATGAACCACCCTGAAGTACATACGAACTTATCCACACCACTCCTGTCACCGTGCATATACAGAAAAGCTACCAAAGTCCCCACCCACCTGCCTCACTTAATGTCTTAGTCAGTATGTGTACAATTACAGCGCAAAGATTTGGAGTGTCTTAATGAGGCGCTTTATATCATTGGAACTTAGAGAGGTGACAGGTCTTCTCAAAAGGCTGGGTGGAGCTGTTCCAACAGGCACCAGGAAGTTTCTAAAATGTATAGACCCACGGAGTTGTTTGGTCAGCCTCACCCATCACCACACTCCTCCGGGCCATGGTGATCTCTCTCTGATGAGGTCTATTCTAATTCCCTTCGAGTCTTGGGATCCGGAAGTAGAAAAGATGCTACATGTGGAAGGGGAGAAATAAGACATTCTCTTCCGGGTCATGCTGGAGCTGGCAAACATGTGGGGACTCTCCTGACAGACTGCATCACTCCATAAGGCCCCTACCCAGGAACACAGAAACTTAAGTGTTTAGAAACACAAACTCCTATGGCCATCAGAGGGAGGACACAATGCAATGCCTGTCTTCTTCCTGGTCTGGTTCTGAATTTTTCAAAGTCCCAAAAGGCCCCCTGAGGTACCATAATACTCAAATCTTCTCTCAGGCCTCAGACAACCCAGCCTTCTCATTTGCAAAGTAAATTGCAGGTGAGCTCCAGCAGGGCATCGGTCATGGGTTCCAATTCAGTCCCTTTCTTGGCACCGAGAAGGAATACTGTTTGGAGAAGAAGCTCTCCGAGAGAAGACCTGGGCGTTGCAGGAAATCTTCTTCGTGAGTCAGCTGGTAACAATCATAATATTTAGCATGTGTATAATGTTTTGCAGTTTCAAAGAGTATTTTGCACACTGCAATCTGCCCAGAGCCTTCAGGGAGTCTTCACTTTTGTGAGGCAACTGGGACACAGGAGGGTGACGTGCCTGAGGTCACATCGAGACTCCAAGGCTGAGTCAGGGTTAGATCTTCAGGTTGTTTTCTGTGCCAGGACGTCATGAGACGGTACCGCTTTTGCCGATCGCTTTTCAGTCTTTTCCAGCAGGGCGGTGGGTAGAGCAGCGGAATAACAGAGGTCCGGATGCTCTGTGAGCTCGCTGGGGGCATGTGCAGCCTGGGCTTCTCGGGCAATGGGGAGTTAACTCCAAAGTTGGCTTCCCCTTGAGTGTTCAACTCTGCCAAACTCGACTTACAGTAAGAAGTGGATGTGTTCAGTGTGTTTTAAAGGTACTACATTGTGTAGTTAAAAAAAAAAAAGGTACATCATTTCCAATGTCAGGCCTCGCAATACATCTGTGCAAAAGGTTATTATAAACTTTCAAGAGACGGGAAGGTACGTGTGTTTTGTTAATGTCAGATCTGGCTTTGCTTTCTTTTTCACTTTTCTACCCCAGCTAGCCTTGCCCTCGTTTGGCTCGTTTGCCTAACTTAATCTATTTTTCTTGCTGATTTATAAATATTTTTAAGACAAGGATGATCAAGTTGAGGCATAGCTCACACCTAGTACATGTGAGTCCCTGGGTTCGATCCCCATCATGGCAAAAACAACAAAACAGAAGAAGACTACCTTCGCCCAGGTCTGGTCAGGGTCAGGGGCACATCTTCCAAGAGCTATTTCACTGTTAAAGCCCTCAGGAAAGATAAAGTCCCACACTGTACAAGGAAGAGAAATGGGGAGAGGGGTGGGAATCAATAAAGTTCAGCCCCACTGCCTGCTTTGTTTTTGGTTCCATCTGGTATCTCAATAATTTGAACAACTCCATGAAATCAAGCAAGAGTAAAAGTCCTATTAGGACAAGGTGTATAAGAGTAACATTTTCCCGGCATGCCTAAAATTCTCAGGGAGATACTGGCTCAATCTACTCAGCGATGACAAAATTGGTTTGGATAATCAATTCCGGATATTCCTCTAGCTTCTCTTCCCACCCTGGCAACATGTGACAGTGGAATTTACATGCATGAGATTTCAGGAGGTGGTGACTCTAATTAGAACCACAGGCCTTGGGAGAGAAAGGACTGCAGTGTGTGATTATACACTGATTGGAGGAAATGACTGACCAGTTGCTTAAGAGAAAAGCTCTCACCATAGAAGGAAAAGTGCAGGTCCCTTTCCTGGACAACGAGACACTGCTGAACACTGGAGACTGGTGGGTGATGTTGTAGGACCCTGGACCTGGGACATCATTCTGAAAGGGAAGAGAATGTGGTCATGTGGTGGTGTCAGGAGGATAATGCAATTCATCTGTGCTTTTCCACCAGCTTTACATTCATTACCGCTAAGCCTCCCCATAATCCTACAAGACAGGTGCCACTGTCACTTGGTGGATGAGAGCCCAGCCCCCACATTCCCAGCTTGCCCAATCTCCACCTCAGATACCGAGTGACGGGGCAGGAATTCCAACTCAGGCAGGGGCCTCCCTGCCCCTCGCTTTTCCCCACTATGCCATGCTGCGCTGCAAAAGAAAGCTGTTGTTTTTTCGTGCCATTAGAGAAATGAGCATAAAAAGGGAGACCAAACGTGACCAATGGGCAAGGCAGCGTGTAGGGATTGGGTAAACCAGACCCACGGTGAGGGAAGGGTGACCGATTTCACATTAACCACACCCCACCTGACTCAGCTTCCTCCGGCCTTTGAGAAGAGAAATCAGGGAGTGTTTCTGTTTATAAAGCAAAATGAAACAAAAACAACCTTCATTCCAAACAACACCGTTTCTGACTCTCAGACAAAAAGAGGCGAGCTCCTGAGGCTCAAGCGTTGACGGGGGCAAGTATGCTGGGGAAGAAGCCGTGGCCCTGAATTCACAGCTGGGCCAGCCCATTGTAGCTCCTTTGCCGTGTGAGCTGTCAGGGGAATGTCCGGGCTGGCTAGGACAGTGTGGTAAAGGAGAGGGCCATGAGCAGCTTCCTCTGTGCTGAATTTTACATGCAGCACATCCCCCGGCTCTGGCCCATAGCAGATGGGAGCAGGGGAGCTAATTCCTGCTTCTTAGGTGACCCAGGTGGACACAGCGGAGCTGGTGGCCAGGGACAGTGAGGCAGGCCGCAAGAAGCACAGCAGAATGAGGTTCACAGACAGCCCATGCCTGGAGTTCAGAGCACTGGTGTTGTGGGTGCAGGTGTGACTGGGAATAGAGAAACAAGGAAGAGAATTTTCCTAGGCTCCGTGTGCAGTACGGCCTCGCCTTACTTAGCTCTCACTGAGGGCCGGGCACTATTCTAATACTTTACATTACTCACTCATTTAATCCTCACTAAGGATTAGATCTAAGATGAGAAGATGAGGCTAAGAGAGAGAAGACCCACGGTCACATCACTGCAAATATCAGAGCCGGAACTTGAACTCAGACGCTCTGACCACACAGACTACTCTTCCCCACAGAATCAAACGAACTCTCAGATGAGATTGTGTGGGACAGAAACCCACTGAGTTCTGAACCAGGAATTCTCATCTTGCTGATGCTGCTAACTTCATGATCTTAAGCAAATCACCTTGTTTTTTTGTAAAGTCAAGGTGTTGGGCATTGGGATGCCCTTTGAGGTTCCAGAGTCCCCAAGCCCAAGCTACAGCTGCAGGGGCACATGGGAGTGTGACTTTTCTAGATTTCAGCAGCAGGCAGGGAAGATGTACGTCTTTAGCTCCCAGCCTACAATCACATGCTCAACATTGCTGTCAGTTCACAAGAACTATGTGCATATTCACTTTCTCTGGGGAGCTAGAGATGCCAGATAAAACTGAAGATATGGCCAGGCATGGTGGCACACGCCTGTAATCCCAGCACTCAGGAGGCTGAGGCAGGAGGATCATTGTGAGTCCGAGACCAGCCTGGGCTACAAAGTGA